TCCGATTTTCATAAGGTTTGGCTTTTTGTTCATGGTTTTTCCTCCAAATCAACTTGGCATCAAAATCTGGCAACATCATTTTTGGTCGAAATTCATGTGTAAATGATACCCCCAAATATCCTACATAGACTTGGTCAAAATTTCTCGACCCCATAACTCAGTCAAATCTTATCCGATTTTCATAAGGTTTGGCTTTTTGTTCATGGTTTTGCCTCTAAATCAACTTGGCATCAAAATCTGGCAACATCATTTTTGGTCGTAATTCATGTGTTAATGGTACCCCCAAATATCCTACATAGACTTGGTCAAAATTTCCCGAACCCATAAATCAGTCAAATCTTATCCGATTTTCATAAGGTTTGGCGTTTTGTTCATGGTTTTTCCTCTAAATCAACTTGGCATCAAAATCTGGCAACATCATTTTTGGTCGAAATTCATGTGTTATTGGTACCCCCAAATATGCTATATAGACATGGGTAAAAATTTCCCGACCCCATATCTCAGTCAAATCTTATCCGATTTTCATAAGGTTTGGCTTTTTGTTCATGGTTTTGCCTCTAAATCAACTTGGCATCAAAATCTGGCAACATCATTTTTGGTCGAAATTCATGTGTTAATGGTACCCCCAAATATCCTACGTAGACTTGGTCAAAATTTCCCGACCCCATAACTCAGTCAAATCTTATCCGATTTTCATAAGGCTTGGCTTTTTGTTTATGGTTTTGCCTCTAAATCAACTTGGCATCAAAATCTGGCAACATCATTTTTGGTCGAAATTCATGTGTTATTGGTACCCCCAAATATGCTATATAGACATGGGTAAAAATTTCCCGACCCCATATCTCAGTCAAATCTTATCCGATTTTCATAAGGTTTGGCTTTTTGTTCATGGTTTTGCCTCTAAATCAACTTGGCATCAAAATCTGGCAACATCATTTTTGGTCGAAATTCATGTGTTAATGGTACCCCCAAATATCCTACATAGACTTGGTGAATATTTCCCGAACCCATAACTCAGTCAAATCCTATCATATTATCATAAGGTTTGGCGTTTTGTTCATGTTTTTGCCTCTAAATCAACTTGGCATCAAAATCTGGCAACATCATTTTTGGTCGAAATTCATGTGTTATTGGTACCCCCAAATATCCTATATTGACATGGATCAAAATTTCCCGAACCCATAAATCAGTCAAATCTTATCCGATTTTCATAAGGTTTGGCTTTTTGTTCATGGTTTTGCCTCTAAATCAACTTGGCATCAAAATCTGGCAACATCATTTTTGGTCGAAATTCATGTGTTATTGGTACCCCCAAATATCCTATATTGACATGGATCAAAATTTCCCGAACCCATAAATCAGTCAAATCTTATCCGATTTTCATAAGGTTTGGCTTTTTGTTCATGGTTTTGCCTCTAAATCAACTTGGCATCAAAATCTGGCAACATCATTTTTGGTCGAAATTCATGTGTTATTGGTACCCCCAAATATCCTATATTGACATGGATCAAAATTTCCCGAACCCATAAATCAGTCAAATCTTATCCGATTTTCATAAGGTTTGGCTTTTTGTTCATGGTTTTGCCTCTAAATCAACTTGGCATCAAAATCTGGCAACATCATTTTTGGTCGAAATTTATGTGTGAATGGTACTCCAAGTTTTCTATGGTACCTTTGAATATCTGATATAGACATGGATCCTAATTACCCTTTCTCATAACTCGGTCAAAGCTCATCCGATTTTCACGAGACTTGGCTTCTTGTTCCTTTATTGATCTGTAGATTGATTTGACATTCAAATCCGGTAACAAAAGTTTTGGTCCAAATTCATGTTAAAATGTTTCCCTCCAATATTCCATGTAGACATAGGTCTAAATTCCCGACCCCCTTAACATCGCAATAATTTTCTTGTTCTGTATATATAAGCCCGAGTGACTGATTCGCAATTTTTTTTCTGGTCGAACATATAACAGACACCTCCTTATAAATACCATTTAAAACATGTGATATATCAATACCTATTCCTGACTTGAGTTGACAATGATTCATGCATGACGACATAACTATTTAAACAAACACATTCATCTCGGAGAGCTAAATTTGCATTATGCTTAGGAGCATGTTACAGCGTGTATGACTAACAGGTAGAACAATGCGTAATTTCTCCATCGAGCATATATTCAAATGTGAAATTCCTAAAAAGTATGTATATAGAAAATAAATAAACAGAATTTCTTAAATGCAAGGCATTCTTTTACTTGCTGCAGTCCGGAAATATGCGCACAAGCTGCCACATTTTTTCAGGCAGGCATAAATACTGTATATACAATGATCTAAACAGGATCCTTTATGGTGTGTCCTTTGTGTCAACCCGTGTGACACCTTTGGCAAACTGTCAATAAGCGCATTGTATCGACCAAATAAAACAGCTGCCAGGCACGCACACACACATTTGCCAGAGATTCCAGTTTCCAGCATCCTTGGCGACCACACAATGTCCTGCGCAGGACAATGCCATTCGCACTGATTGGCAAAAGGAAAATGCATCTGCAGCGTTTATGGTCGACATATGACGGCAAGATGCTCTGGAATTTGGCGGGAATGCGAACAGCTATGTCAACTAATTAGCAGCTGGCCAAAAAAGCAAGCGAAGCGCATACGCTCGGCGCCAGGTCAAAAAAGAGAAGAGCTATCTAGGCGGTAATGACCGACTAGGAGATGCCCTACAACGAGTTGGCATGAGTTGATGCTCTTTATGCAACGGCTGTGCTTCTTCTATCCTTAGTAAAAAGTTCTTTATTAACTTGGTTGTTTATTGTGCGATTTTTCTAAAATTTTTAGCGAAGACATCTGGTCTCGGAATACGTGTTAATACCAAAGACCAGGGTAATATCTCAATGAAATGCAATTCTTACAATTTCGGGGGAACGAAGAGAGATATTCGAAAAAAATGGGAAATATTCTATAAGTGCTTCTAAGTTCTATTAACCTAGGGATATGTATAAAAAGCAGGATGTTGATTGATCGATTCTTATCGATTTCAGGGAAGCGAGGCGAGTTATAAATATCTTAAAGCAAATCGATCTGCGCATGCTATCAAAGGAACTACATTCACTCACAGAAAACCATTATACCCATCTTTTCACCATTATGAATGGGTAAAGGGTATACAAACTTTCAGAGCTCAACGCGTAGCAGATGAATTTCGAGCCCATTTCCTAACCAGATGAAAATGTTGTCAGTGCTGAGCTTCTTCGAAGAGAGAGCGAGATAACGGCAGAGAGAGAGAGAGAGTCATTTTGACCTGGCCAAGTACAGAGATCTCTTTCGCTGGCTCTCTCTCTCTCTCTCTCTTCAGCTGCTGCTGTAGCACACTCTCTTTTCTTGGCCCGGGCAACAACTTTTCTTGTTGCCGTCTTTTGTTTTATGCCACTTTTTTTTCGGCAACGGGCCGGAGCTCAACATGTTCAGTCAACCTTGGCAAGGCCGTTGTTGCCGGTTTTTTAGGAGTGTGTGCGTGTTCGTGCATGTGTGTGTGTGTGTGTGTGTGTGTGTGTATTGATGCTTGCGTGGGTCTTTGGTATGTGGCCAACGGAAGTGCGTTCGTTGATAATTGACAAACCCCCTTTTTAGCCAGTTCCCTCGAGCCACACAGCCAACAGCTGCTTGCTGTTGCCATCATTAGACGACATTTGGAATGAACACATATACATGACAATTACTGTAGCAACCCGCCAGTGTCCTGTTGCCAAATTGAGCGGAAAGTGTTAGGGGTTGGTTATATAAAAGTGTCCTTACTTCAAATCTAACCATTAATTTAAGAATTAATTTAAAGTATGTACTAAAAGCCAACTGTTCGAGTAAAAATCATTTGTTTCTATGCCTGGAAAATCTTTGAAATCTTGAAATCTTTGATCAAAATACGCCTTAAATTCAAATCGAGCTTGAAAATGACAAATATCCAAAATAAATGGAAAAAACGACTATCAATTTTACAGAAGTATCTCAATTAAAAAGGATAACTAAACATATTGTATAAATATTATCTTCTACATTATCATCTTCCATAAGTTTAAATCCTTCACTTAAACTTTTATCTAAAATTTCATAAATAAATTGTATAACTTTTTAAATATTTTTAATATTTGTGTGTTTGTGACCTCCTATAAAAAAAATATATGACAATCTGAACATTTTTTAATAATTTAATGCAAAATAGAGCCTGCAGAAAAAAGAATTTGTCGTAAATTGGAATTATCTGTAGAACCAAAGCATTCGAATTCAATAGAGAACATGCCATTTGATTCTTGCTAATTTTCATTCATTTAATTCTTGAAAGCATTTCAAATTATTTATTCCTATGCTTTGCTTTGTTAAAACCATAAGAAGCTAACCCACTTTTAATTCCATTTGTTTATATACAGTATAAGTTTTAATAGCTTATTTTTTATCGTTTTTTAGTTGTTTTTTTATATCATTTCGAGTTTGACCTCTTAGGAATGCCTCTCGAGGAACTTCTTTTCCATTCATTTGCAGCCTGCATGGTTCAGCAATTGCTCTCAATATTTTTTAGATACAACAGCAACAGCTTTGGCTTGATGCCAATTTCATCATTTCATCAACATCATTTAACTGAGAGACTGAGAGACTGACAAACTGAGTCTCTGTCTGCCCCCATAGAGGAAACTCTGCTCGAGGCGCTGTCGCTGCCGCTGCCTCTGCCGCTGCTTCCTCTTCTACTTCTGTTGGCTACTTTGCTCTCGCTCTAAAATGCAATGCAGTCGAGTTGGCTTTATTGCTATCTCCCTTGCACAACTCACCATTGCGCATGTGTGTGAGCACAGAGTAACTCTGCCTGTGTGTGTGTGTGTGTTTGTGTGCGATTGAGACCGGGTCTGCTGGCGGGTAGGTCTGCTGCGCAGCGACTGCGTCATTTCAGTTGCTTTCGAGCGAGCGACGCAAACGGTTCGTAATTCGTGCGTTTATCAAATTTGAAAATAAATTTCAACTGAAAACCGAAACAAAACCAAACAATTTCAACAAAGTCGCGCGTGCGTCGTGCGAGTTGAGCAAAGTTTTGAAATACCAAACGCAAAATTGTGAAATACAAATAATGAGTGTTTGAAACTGCATTAAAACCGTAATCATAAACAGTGTTGTTTAAAACCGAAACTAACCGGAAAAGTACAATAAATTTATTGAAGCACTTTGTTTCAACGTAAATCAACCAAAATGGTACGCAGCTTGGCACAGTGGACCAAAACGTTGAGTTTCCCCTCACGCTTGTCGCCCAATCGCAATTCCAAGGATTGCTCAACACTGGCCAGCCCAGTGCCGCCGCCAACGCCGCCGCGCAACAAGACCAAAGGTCACAGCCACTGTGCCACATCGCGCAGCACCTCCTCCACCGTGTCCTCGTCGCATTCATCGGCCGCTTCGCACAATTCACCAACGCCGGGCAACAACAACAACAACAACAACATCAACAATATGCCCATCACGGAACTGGAACAGATCGTAAGTTTTATGTTTGGAACGGGCGGGGTAGGAACTTTCAACTTCCTGTTCGAGCAGAGCAGCAGCTGCACAAACAGTCAACTGATAAAGGCACTACGATAAAGCTCATTGACCCATTTCCCTAGGCACGCATGCAATTGGCATTACGAAAGCCCCAGAATGCGGCTTATCTTTAACAATCAATCAGTTCCCAAAAGCAAATAGACCATAAAACTGATAAATGATATAGTATGCTTTGGCATTAGGTATATAAAACAGCAGCATTTAATTGATAACACTCGGATTTCTGGACTATATTTGTAGATCATAAATGCAACTACAGTGGTCTCTCGCAAATTGGAACAATTAAACAAACTATGTCAAAAGTGCGTTAAAATATTTTTAGCCTTACAACGAAATTGCATCTTTTTGAAGAACTACTTCCTAAACTCAAAAATTAATCTTAAAAAAATATTCTACTCCCATTCCAGAAGTTTTTCTTTTTGAAATTCCTCAAGATAATTTTACTCAAAGTATTAAATACTTTAAATATTAAACAATTTGAACATCTGGTCACATTGTATTACGAGCAGTTTTTTATTTCCAATGAAGTACCGTATCGAATCAGTCTTGTGGTTGCCACCTAGTTAAAAGTCATTTGGCAAATGCCGCACAATCAAATTGCCAGAGCTCCTTACACACACACAGAGAGAGAGGGATAAATCTAGAGACACATGTGTCACAAAATAGACATATAAAAAAAAGAAGAAGAAAACTGAAAAGCAAACAGGATGTCGCCACGCTTGAACTGGGCATGGGAATGGGAATCGAGAGTGGGAATTGGGCATGGGACAGCGAAGGGCGCCCGGCTTGTAGACGACACATGTGCACAACGTGGCCGGGCAATTTTCGATGCCACACGGAGCACATGGTGCCATGCGAGGCGAACAAGGCAAATCTTCAAGTGTAGCCTGGGAAAATGATTGCAAATGCGACATAAACAAACCAAAGATCGTTAACGATTTCTGTCTGTTTATCTAGGCAATTGATAGTCGCTGTTCATTTCGGGTTATTCGAGGCGTTGTCTATATAATATTTATAGATAGATATAAACATATTATACGATATGCATTTAGAGAAATGCAAGGGCAATCATATAGAATACATTTTCTCACACGAGAAATAGACCTAAATTTTGGGTTATCTAAGCGCAAAGAAAGATATATTTATCTTTGTGTACCCAAATCTTTCTCGATATATAGATAAATAAAATAAATACATTTTAGTAAAGCAATAAGAAGTAATATGTTTCAAAGTAGAAAAGTCTATCCCAGCATATATGTATGTTTATAGGAACTCTTCGAGTTGTTTAATATTTTATAAATATGATCTTCAGTTAAAGAAGAAAGGGCATTTTTTCTGTGATTTCAATTTAAAGCAATCAATATTGAATCCTGTCTTGTTTGTAAATTATGGTTTGCAGAAATTCGAATTCTTTGAAAATTTAGAAGAGTTCTCCAGCCGTAACATTCTCATTGGCGAATGTCTATCTTATATGATAAAAGAAGAGCCCAACATATTATATCTTCCATAAAGCTATTATATTCAAAAGTTCACCCAAAACTCATTTGTTCTCAAACAAAATCCTCTTACCAAATGCCACACATGTGCCTTGGTTATACGAATCTGCAGCAATTTGTTGAAAGATCAAAGTGTGTGCATTCCTTTTCAGCTGCTGGCCAAGACGTTGTGCTTGCAACTGTTACCAATATGCATACATTTATGTATCTTGGACACAGCCACACCCGACCAGACCACGACAACTGCGGGCAATTGGCTCAAAACGTGCCACAACAAGCATGCCACACACTTTTCTATGGTAAATCGTGACTGCCAGCTTTGGCGCCGCTACTGTTGTTGCTGCCCCTCTCCCCCTACACACCCCCCCCCCCCTGCATTCACCGGAAAAATGGCAAAGTTGAAAGGCGTCGTCTGCCCAGCGTATCGAACGCTGCCAAGTCAAATGAACCGTTAGAAAAATGCGCTTATATAAGTCGCAGAGAGTCGCCGCGATTTGCCATTTCGTGGCGCATAAAACAAGTTTCTTGTTTTTGGCTGGAAAAGTTGTTTTAGCGGCTTTTCCACCAACACTAGCCAAACATCCTTGGCCAAAGGTAAACCAGTTAACCGGTTTGCGGAGGCGTCTGGCCAGCCACATGCCACACATAACTGCAGCTAGTCCAGTTAGCTGGCCAGCTCGCAACTTGCCGCTCGCATCCGGCTGCTGGGCCAAGCATTTCCCGTCAGCTTGTTAAAGCATTTCCCACAATTTCATCGACAGACGCTCCAATTGCAAACGATTTTCCCACAGTTTGTCTCAGGATTGGCGCGGTACGTGCTTTCGACTTTTGGCTTTGATTAGCTTTTGGCCAGTTATTAGCATTTCACACCCAGCTGTTAATCAGACTTGATGTGTTTTCTCTCTGTGTGTGTGTGCTTGAGCTGAATCAACTGTTTTCTCTTGGCGAGCTGGTCAAGAATGTGGCGGTCAAAATATATGCCCAGCAGTGTTGAGAAGTGCAAAAAAAGCCACATAAAAAAAGAAAGAGCCAACAAATTTCTACGCTCTCTTTATGGCTATTTTTGCTAATTAAAATTATGATACATCTTGATTAACTCTTCACTTATACTGCAAATAAATCTATATATAAATCTTAATACATATGCAAAACTGTTTTGTGACAACTCTTTAACCCCATTAGGCCTATTTTGTATACCAAACACATGTTAAAAATGAAGCTAGAACTCCGGCTGTCCGCTAAAAGTAGCCAGAAAAAAGCGAAGCTTGCAACACTGTTTACCATAAACAGCATAAACTGCTGTTGTCGCGCCAAATACCAAATACCAGACGACGAACCCAAACGTGGCCAATAAATGCGGCGTCAGCAGTTGCTGCTGCCGCTTCCTGTCCGGCTGCGCTGCCAGGCAGCTGCTGCCCGCATTGAACAGCAGTTTTTTTTTTCATTTTTGGGCATTACAAAATACGGCAGCAGCTGTTAAGCCGCCCCCTTCCCGCTCCCCTTCCCGACAGAAACAAAAAACCAGCACAAAGTTCACCTGCAGCACAGCAATAATTGCAACATCGCGATGCTGCAAGTGGGGCAACACCAGTGCGCCTAAAGTGTGGCAACGCTGTGCCGCAGCGCATTTAGAACATTTGATATTTGCAATTTAGTTGGCAGCCAAAATAAATGCATACAGCAACAACAACAACAGCAACAGCATGTGTTGTTGTGTGCGTGCAGGTGCAGAGCGCAGATCAGAAAGAAAAAAAACCCAAACAAACAGCTGCTCTGCCGCGCTCTCTCGCCCGCTCTCTCTCGCTCTCTCTTCGACTGTGTTGAACAGCGCTCAAAACACGTTTGCTGGCTTTGGCTTTGTTTTGTTTTCGTTTTTGCAGCTGTCTGCGCTCACTTAGCTATGTATTAGTGTGTGTGTGTGTGTACCTGTATATGCTATTGTTGTAGTTGTTGTTGTTGCAGCATTTGCAGCTCTTTGTGAAATTCATAAAACTGCGCATCAGCTGTATTTTTTTTTCTGTTGCTAACACTGCATTTTAGACGGCGCATTGGGGACCTGCCCCATGCATTTTATTAGGTCAGCTCAATTGACACGCCCATTCGAGGGGCGTTCTATTTCAGCAACAGCAAAATAACAAAAACAATCATAAACCTGTTGCACAGCTGTTTCGCGTCAGGTAGAAGCAGAAGAAAAAACAACAACACCGAATACTGTGGGAAACTTTGAGCTCTAGCAAATAAGCCAAAGCGCTCTAATTTGATATGAAAACATTTAGCACAGTTTTCGAGCCGAGCTCATAATGACTGTCATATGAACGCTGAAAATTGTTAAGGCAAACATCAAGAACCACAACCACAACATAAACATACAAAAAATAAGCTAATTCCAGTAATTCACGTACCCCACATATGAAAAAGTAGCCTAGCGAGCGAGCGAGCGAGTTTTATTTGTCTCCCAATTTCAACTCTAGCTGTCCCACTGTGCCTGCCAATGTGCCCATTGTACAAGGCGGCAACAAAAAAGATTGGTTGGCACGCAAGCACAACGGAAGTGGCCCGTGGTGCAGTTCTAATAGGTGGCAAGGTGCCAGGGCCCCGGGTCGATGTTGCCAGACTGTCAGCTGAATGGAAAATTTGATGATCTTTCAGTTAGCAGCTTGAGAAATCGTGCGCTCTTGTGGACAAATGGAAAATCTTAGAAATTAAGAACAATGCACAAATGTTTAGGTGTGATAAAAAGAAGAAATTATATAGATTTAAATAGAAGCTAGACTTTTAAAGGAATACATATGCTATTATACTTAAAGGAGTCTAATCAAAGCAAATTTTTGTTATTTGTTATCTTTCGTTTTTCAACACTCTTTTACTAAAACTATGCCTATCTTATATTTGAAATGGAGTATATTTTAACTATGGATGTTAATTTGGGAAACAAAAGCTTTCCATTAGAAATTTTCACATATACTAACATACTCAAGAATCGAAGCTGTCAACCACTTTAATATCAGAAAATAAGGGTATTTCGTAATCCTTCCCAATTAATTTATATGCCATACCATATATCAACATAATGCCGCTATAAAAACAAATAAAATGTAAAGTTTATGAAGCGGAACAGACCAGCAAATCGATCGCTCAATAACACATGCATGCACTCTATATAAAAAGAAATGAAAAAAAAAACAAGCCTGCATCTGACAGAAAAAGAAATCTAAGAAGAAGAAAAAGACAGCAGCAGCAGCACTTTTGCACCCCCAAAGTTAGTCTATAAATAAAGTGAAAAACATGCCCAAAAAGCATTTTCTTTTTTTTTTTGGTGCTTCAAGAAACTTTCAACAATAACATAAACAATGCGTTGGCATCGATTTTAATTGCTGCCTGATTGGGGCCAGAAACCAACTAACACCACCAAAAGCCATAAAAAAAGAAAAGAAAAGCCAGCCAAAATAAAACACGCTTGTCAGCAGTGCCCCATAAGAACTTCTACGAGCGCCTTGAACTTTATGAATATACACAAATATCACTCGGGTTTTCTTTTTCCCCTCCCCCCAAATAATGCTAAGTAGACCCATGCCAAGAGCCGGGCAACGTATTTGTTGTCTAAAATTATACAAATGTGCATTTGCCGCGCTCTTTTTTTCAAAAATTAATTTTTACGTTCCAAGTGCGTCGAAGTGCTGCCCTGCTGCCACGCCCCCTGCTCAACAAGCGGCTACTATGGCAGAGGGTATTTAAATTCGGTCATAAAGTACGTAACGCAGGGAAGGAGATGTCGTGAATGTATATATATTCCTGTTTAGCATCAACAGACTAGTTGATATAGGCATGTTAGACCGACTTGGGATCGTTCGAGAACTGAGATCTTTCACATCTTAATGGATATATCTACTTATATAACATAATATATATTAAACAAAATCTTATCAAAATCTTATTATAGAGCTCCCAAAAGGAACGTTTAGGCATAAATGGTCTTTTTGAGTGAAAACCTTATTTATAGCCTAGGAGAGGGTATTCGAATTTGTTCTTGATATGTGAAGAAGACATCGCCCAACTCATAAAGTTCTATATTTATTCTATATCAGCATCAAAATCTGATATAGTCATGTCCCTCTGTCTGTCTGTGTATCTGTCTCTCAGTTTTAAAGCCAATCTCTTGAAACTTTGCATAGGTTCGTCTTTCTGTTGCAGTCAGAACATATGTCAGATCGGGGCACTATATCATAGCTGCCATAGGTTCTGTTTTCAATGATATTTTCATTAACTATTCCCACATCGTATCTGTAAAACTGCCGAAGATCTTTCTACTTGTACGCTGTTTTTTAAGATATATCAATCCAACTGAATTACTCTTTAAGTATGATCAAAATCTTTTGAACACGTGTCCATTATATCTATATGAAAGTCTTATAGCCTCCATTTCTAGGGTATTAAAGAGTCTGTGTGCCGAGGAAAGCTGTTCTTATAGATTGTTTACTTTTTGTTATCAATTGATTTTGTTTTAGTTTGTTGTCTTTTTATTTAAAAGCAGCTCTTTTTCTTTTTTTTTCACTTGTCAACTTGCTTGAGTTTTTCTTGTATTTCTTTATTTACTCTTTTTTTATAAGTTTATTTTAATTTTAGTCTTCGCTTTCATTTTCATGTTGCTCACGCACAAATTGAATTTAAAATCATTTGATTTTTATATAACATGCTTTTGAAGCTTATTTAATTTGCCTTGCGTAATATTTGGCAAAGTGTTTTTTTTTTTAAATGTTATTCGGTAATCACCTGAACCGGAGTTCAATGGAGTTAAAGACGCCCCAGCACAATTTTTACACAATTTTTGTTTATGTCGAGTGTCTCAAGGCAGTTCACATTTTGTTGAATTGACACTTAGCTGAGCTATTATATTTTAATATATATTTCCGGTGCTCAGTTTCTAGATAATTATCTAAGGCATATAATCATTTCGGCTAAGCTGTGTGGTCCGAACCAAAGCAAACTCAATTGCCTGAATGAAAAGTCAATGATCTCTCGCAATTCCACTGCGCCTCGGCTGCTTTTTGGGAAACTGTTTGATTTCTTTGTAAACAGTTGGTTCCACGTTGACAAACAGTCGGCTTTTTGATCTCTTCTTTTGTCGGTGCATAAACTTAGGAGGAGCAAGAGCAAATGCTCTTCCAGCCTGCCTGCCGCACATCATTTTCAATTTGTGTAAACATTTTCAACATCTTGTTTATTCTATCGCCAAGCTGAGTGGCAGTCGTTACTTCCTGAATTATACATATATACTGCACCCAATTCAAAGCCGGCTAATTGGTCCATTTTGTCTCGGTATTACGCAGAGTTCACCAACAAATTTCGGTGCTGGCCATAGTTCAGTTTTTTAGTGACATCAAAAATAAAATTAAGAACAGCGCAAAACTTGTTTTCACGTTAAATTAAATTACCAGCAAGCGGCAATTCCCTAGAAATACATACATACATGTACATATGTATTATTATTATATCTGTTTCTTCGTTTTTTTATTTTTTATTTTTGTATCTTTTTCTGCTTCTGTTTCATGCTCTACGCCCATTCCAGAGAGCTCGAGCGAACCGGAGCTCGGCTCTGGCTCTGGCTCCGGCTCATGTGTTAATTGCTTATTATATATCTTTCATTTTCATGTCATTTTCTCTGAGAGTAAGTTCTTCTTGTTGTTGTAGTTGTGTGCGACATGTCGAGACATGTTCATTTATCAAAAGTCAAGCCACGCTCGGGCTCGGGCTCAGGCTCGGGCGCCGCCAAACTGCAGATAAGGTCAATTAAAAAGAGTCAACCGGAAATGTCGCGACATTTGTGGGGGGATTGCACACACACTAACACACTCACACACACACACACACACACAGGCAGACGCATCTTTGAATACTTTATCATATACACATGTATCAACGGGTTGAGCGTTTTTTGTTTTAATTACGTCAATAGCCAGTCATAAATATTTTCGCACAATTTATTACTATATGGAAAAGCTCGCCGGATGTTTGGCTGCCCAGTTGGCCACGCCCCCTTTTGCCATTAGTTGTTGCTATTGTTGTAATTAAGAGAAATGCAGCAGCAAAAAGAAGGCGAAGCAAGCAAAAGAAAACTCAGAACAAGCGGCATGCACAGAATGCACTCAAGCAAAGCCCAGGCGCAGACCCAAAATGGTAGACAGGAAGTGCATGCCTGTGCCTAGGTGTGAGTGTACATCTGTGTGTGTGAGTGCGAGTGTGTCTAAGAACATGATCAGTCATGTGTAAACAGTTGACGACTTAGATGCGTGAGGTGCGAGGTGTGCAGGTAGCACATCGCTTAGGTAGCTGGCTGCCACGGGCAAAGCAAAAAACCAATAAAGTGGTTGGTTCCGTTAAATAGATAAGCGAGAAACATCCTTGAGTATCTTAGCTTATCAGCAGCAAAAACATAAATAGAAACTGGAGCAAGAATCAGCTCAGCTATAAAAGTGTTCGCTTGATGCGGCATATTTAACAGTCAAGAGTTGCAAGTGCGTCCGTTAAGTTCGATGGGTTTTTGGCAACGTTTTGGCAAAGTCAAGTACAAAGTAAGTGCTTCAGATATTGTATCTGCTAGATACATTTGCAATTGGTGCTAAAGATACTGTATCTGCATATACATGTTGTGTCTGCTAGATACATTTGTAAAAGTTAAACAAGTGCACTGAAAAGGAATGTATCTCATATATATAGATACTGTATCTCCCAAATACTTTTCTACTACATACTACACACAAGTAAATGTGTCTGATAGATATATATGTATGTATAAACATGCTTAGTAGGTGCTAAAGATATTGTATCTGTTAGATACATTTGTAATACTTAGTTAATTGTGACTAATAGATATATTCATTAAGCAAAGCTTAGCTTCTCACAACTTTTTAGCTGCTTGATAAATATTTTGTATTTTAAAGATACATTTGTTATCTTTAACAAAGCACACAAAAGAGACTTGTAAAGCTTTTAAGACAGTTAAGATATTGTATCTCCTAGACCACTTCCCATTTATCTGAAGAGGAAACCCCCCTAAAACTATATAAATCCAGATCTGCTTTAAAGTGGAAAATTTCAGCCAAATACTCAGCCGATAGTTGTAGATAGATATTGTATCTGTGAGATACTTTGCTTCCAGAAGTTATATATATATATATATGCTTAATTCGATGAGATCTTTTGAGCAGTGACTAATTGAAACATTTTATCACTTACCCCTTGCAGATTTATCCCGGTCCAGATCCGAAACAGGCCATAATGGGCTCCCTGGTCTTTTGCATACACCACAAGCAGGGCTGCAAGTGGTCCGATGAGCTGCGCAAGCTGAAGGGGCATCTGAACACGTGCAAGCACGATGCCACACAGTGCCCCAATAAGTGCGGCGCACAGATACCGCGCATCATGATGACGGATCATTTGCAGTATACATGCACCATGCGGCGCACTCGCTGCGAATTCTGCCAGAGCGAATTCTCGGGCGCCGGACTGGAGGAGCACAACGGCAGCTGCGGCCAGGAGCCGGTCTACTGTGAGGCCAAGTGCGGTCAGCGTGTGCTGCGCGGTCGCATGACACTGCACAAATCGAAGGACTGCGCCAAGCGCTTGCGTCGCTGCGCCCACTGCCAGCGCGAATTCTCGGCGGACACGCTGCAGCTGCACGCGGCCCAGTGTCCGCGCACCCCGTTGGCCTGTCCGCAGCGCTGCGATGCGGGTCCGATAGCACGCGGCGAACTGGAGGCGCATCTGCGCGACGAATGCCAGTCGCTGGCGCTAGCCTGCAGCTTCAAGGAGGCCGGCTGCCGCTTTAAGGGACCGCGCCAGCTGCTGGAGGCGCATCTGGAGAGCAGCGCCGCGGCGCATTTGTCGCTGATGGTGGCGCTGAGCACGCGCCAGGGTCAGCAAATACAAATGCTCAAGTCGGCGGTGTCGAAGCTGTCCATCAACTATACAGGCACGCTGCTCTGGAAGATTACCGACTGGTCGGCCAAGATGAACGAGGCACGCGGCAAGGATGGCCTCGAGCTGGTCTCGCCGCCATTCTATACCTCACAGTACGGCTATAAGCTGCAGGCGTCCATGTTTCTCAATGGCAACGGACCCGGCGAGAATACCCATGTCTCCGTATACATTAAGGTGCTGCCGGGCGAATATGATGCGCTGCTCAAGTGGCCCTTCTCCCACTCGATAACATTCACGCTGTTCGAGCAGGGCGCCCAGAGCGGCCAGGGCGGTGTTGCCGAATCATTTGTGCCCGATCCCACCTGGGAGAACTTCCAGCGGCCATCGAATGAGCCCGACCAGCTGGGCTTTGGCTTTCCACGCTTCATCTCGCACGAGCTGCTGCACAGCCGACCGTTCATCAAGAGCGATACGGTCTTTCTGCGCGTCAAGGTCGATCCCAGCAAGATTGTCGCCGTCTAAGGAGAGCTCGCACCGTTTCCTGGAGCCTTAAGCCTGAACACTCGACTTTCTTAAATACCGTGTATTTGAATGTGCGAGAGTGTGTATACCCGACTGGGCCTGTGTACATAATATTTAAGTAAGCGTTTGGCTTCGGGCGTTGTTAGCCGCTTGGTTCTAACTGGCCTTTGAATGCTGAACTGCCACGCCTACCGCGTAATAGTCATATACCTTATATACATACATATACAGACACACATATATATATATATCTATATAGGTTTTTGCAGTGCTGGAATTAAACCAAAGCATATTAACATACAGACCATAAAGAACAAAATTAAAATAACAAAACAAAACAAAAAGAGAAAAATTTTGAAAATAATTGTTCGAAATATTATCGTGTAGTACTTTAGTTCGTGTCTTAAGTCTTTTGTTATAGAGATTTGTATTTTTTGTGCGCTCCCATTGGGCGACTTTAAAAACTTTCAAAAGATCTTCAAATTATAGATCGTACGATTTTTGAATTAGCTAAACCTAGTTTGCATGTACATAGGCATTAAAAAGCAAATCCTAGTTCTTGTAAGCGCTCCACATAGAACTTTAAGCGAACATTGTCGTAGTCATTAGCACAATGAACACATAAGAATACAATATTTGAATATAGTCACATAAGCTAAATGTTTTTTAAAACTAAGCAGTCAAGTCTACAATAAAAGCAAATACAATATCCAGTAAACCAACATGAAATGCTTTTCAATATTCGTTTTTTCTTTTTACAATTTTTGTTATAGAATTTACTTTTGCCAAATCGTTTTTTGCATACATTTTTATTGATTACTGCTCTTCGGAAAACTTCAAGTTATCTTTAAAAAATTCCAATAATCAGAGCTTTATATTTGGCATTCATTTTTTACTTCTTTAGAAACATATTTTTCAGGTTGTTTGGAAATTCTGTGGCAAATTACAAAAACGCTCGAAATCTTTTGCAAAAAGCAACTTTCAATAATTAAGAAGTTCTACAAATTACAAAAGAAAGTTTGAATATAGTTTTCTATCTTTTTGCCGTTTATTCCAGCTTAATTAATTATTTAAAGTTGTTCGAGAATGTTTTTCTTTTCAATTAAAACTTAAAGGATATTCAAAACTTTCTTAAAATTTACACAAGTTATTCAATAATTTTGTGACTTGACAATCATGAAAATAAATAGCCTTGACTTTCTTTAAAGTATTTCCAAATATTCATTGTCAATTCTTAAAGAAAGAAATACCTTAACTTTAAGTTAGGCTTGCGATTCGTTAAAATTTGGAACATCTGCTGTTGAGTTTTAAAATTACATCGAACTAATGGAATGTTTGTTGTATTTGCTAGTTAGTTAGTGGGCTTGACTAGGGAAATCGTTTCTTGAGCAGACTCTCCAGCTTGCGTATACCTGTCTGGGAGCTGCCATCGGCATTCTTGTCCGCGCTGCCCGTAAAACTGCCCACGCTGAAGATGAATGCACGTTTGGGCGTGGCATTCGTTGCAGCTGCTGGCGCCGTTGTGGCATCAAGAGACAACGAATTGGTTTTCGCATCTGTTTCGGTTTCCTCTGTTGCGGGCGCAAGCGTTTCATGGGCAACGGGCAGCGATTCCTCCTCGCTATTGGTTGGCTCCAAAAGGCCGCTGACTGCGGCCGCGGAGGCTGTGTGCTTGAAGAGATCGATCAGCTGCAGCTGATCCACACGCTTGACCGCCTTCATGTCCAAAATTTTCTGATACTCAGCTATGGTTATGTCCGGCAACAGTTTGAGCACTTGCTGCGTAAAATGCGCCGGCGGCTGCACTGGCGTCATCACCACTTTGATAATCATCTCCGCTCGGGTCATATCCTTAACCACCACCTTGGTGTAGCTGGTGGGCGCCTTGCGATTGACACTCGAACCCACCGATGGCAGCTCCAGCAGCGCCGTCTTCAGCGAGTGCGTGTCCAACAGCAGCTGCTCACAGCCGAGCACATTATTGGAGCCATCCGACAGCGTCAGTTTGCAGCGATACAGCACATTTATGAACTTGGGTATGAACGCGGCCACGAAACGATGACAGAATTGCGTGAAATATTTGCGAGAACTGGCGAGCGTGTCCCGTATGGCGGGCACCGTTTGCTTAAAGTTGCCGCAAATGCTGCTGATGAACGCGCTCTGATCGCCCACGTTGCTGATGTGCTGCCACTGCACCTTGGCCATTGCCTGCAGCGATGCCTCACAGCCTGCCTCCAGATCCTGCACGAGCAGCTGTATGCAGTTGGAAATGATGCTGAAGAAGGTAAGATTTCATTATGAATGTTGCAATGCTGTTTAACATCTGTTTTCATTAAATTTTCCTAATGTGCTGCTGAATGGAGTTGATGAAATCGATTAAATGAATGTTCCTTTTTATGCGTGAGACGTTGGAAAATAATGAGTTTTCGAATATCCAGTGAAAAACAGAAAGTGTCCAAAATCAATTAAAATAATTGTTGAATATTTTTAACGTTGAGCCTTGAAAGTTAGTCGAAAGCTGATCCATCGAAAATTGAACAGTTTTTCTCCTCGTTTTATAATTTGAAGTGCGGAATTTCCAAATTTGTTGAAACATATTTTAAAGTAATTTTAACAAAATTTAAGAAATAACAACAAAAAAAATGGAATACAAAGGTTTTTTGCCAAAAATTGTTAGTAAAGATTTTGAAATAAATTTGAAGTTCCTTTGAAAACAAAAAAAAATTTTGTTTCACGCATATTTCGAAGTACAAGGTGAATTTGAATGAAAATATTGTGATTATGAAAAGTGAGTAAGTCAGGTCAGTCATAGAGTCAGCTATATGTATATGTATATGGATATCGTTGTCTATTGAAGAGACTTAAGACTTACCGATGGAAGACATCTTTCTCTTCGCTCATGTCTATCTTGGTGACATAGGCGGCGGTAACCTTCTCCTTGAGTTTATCCTCCAGCTGTTGCACTGTTTCCAGGCAATATTCGCCGGTGGTCAGGACGCAGCAGATGCGCACCAGATCATCGCGACTGAAACGCTGTGTGTCGCCCTCCTTGAGAAAGTTGTGAAACACCTGACCGGCGGCTGTCGACAGATTTTGCATGTCGCGCGTTAACAGGGAGACGCTTTTGCCGATGGAACTGCCCGTGCTGCTGACCAGCTTGGGCGTGCTACCCTCGAGCACCTTGGCGGCATATTCGCGCAGATATTTCTTGAAGACCAGCGCCAGATCGTACATGGGCTGCTCATTGCTCAGCTGATTGCACTGCACCATGCATTTCTTGTAGAAGACAAATAAATCACCCGAGCTGGGATAGACTGTTGTCTTGGCCTCTGCAAACTTGTACGGCTCCTTGGACATCTCAATGAACTTCTCAAGCAGCTCCGATAAATTTCGATCAATACTGCGTATATAAATGTCCAGATGGGGCTTAAAGCACTGACCAATCTGATCATGGAATACGGTCACGGTAAGCGATGCCTCTGCCGTAGCTGGCAGCGTAAGGACGCGAGTCTGCTCGGCGGGCGTGGCGCCCAGGGTGACGCCCGTGAAGCGTTTAGAGAGCAGCTGCTCAAAGGCTTGCGTCTTGTTAATGGCAAACAACAGCAGACGCACATCAATCTCTGCGGTGCGCTTGGCCATGATCTGTGCCAGCTGTTGGCGTGTCTGGCGACAAAATTCGACTGTGATGCGCTCCGACACCTCCCAGTCTAACGGAAAGACAGAGCCATATTTATCTTCAAAGTCCAGCAGATGACGTTTGAGCCAGGCATAGCGCTTGTCTATTTTATCCAGCCAGGCAATATCCTGATTCTCATGAAACAAATGCATATACTCCTCCAGCTGCTGTGCTATGAACCACTTGAGCAGCTCCTTTTTCACCTTGGCATCCAGCACGGACAGCACTTTGCACGCATCAGCCAGCTGATTTAAGCCCAATCTGTGCTGCGTGGAGGGTTTGTTGGCAAATGCCTCTTTGAAATCCTCTGTTATTTGCTGCGCCAGTGTTACTTGAATTTTATCCACACTCTGAGAGAGATTCTGGAATACAAAATATGTGTGATTCGTTGGCCTCCATTTGATTGTAAATGATTCGGTTCATACCTTGATTTCGTCAATGTCCGAGTACTGTTGGAAATGTTGATTCACCTCGGTGATGGCTTGCAGTGGATTCAAAATCTCGCCATAGGAGCGCCGCTCAATTAGCTCGTTTAGGCTTTCAATGCCGCCCACAAGCATATGCAGATGATTCAGCGTGGTTATGGCCGAGGTCAGATTCCGCTTGGCGCAATCCAATTGCTTGATGTCGCGCGTGATTTCCTTGACCATTTCCTCGGTGCGTTCGGCGCGGGTTTTCACATCGATAATGTGACTGAACAGCGAACTGATCACCTTTTGTGCCTCGCACAGCGCCAGTTGACCATCCTGACCCGTGTTCGTCTGGCCGCGCACCACGGACCGTATATTGTCATCAATCAGCGAGACTTCACACTGCATGCGCTGTATTGTCTCATCGATTGTGGCCAGCGATTGCTCATTGGGAAATAATTGATTAATGTAATCCACTGTGTTGAAATCTGGTGCGTCCATTGGATCCTGTTCGTCTGTTTTTAGCACCTAAAAAAAAGTTGTTCATTATCTATGCCACGATTTTGTTGCTGCTTGGCTTGCCTCACCTTGTCAATAACCTGCTTCACCTCCTTGGAAAAGTGTATCTTGTTGCTGCCCATCACTTGAACGGCAGTGGCATCTGCCACAGACTCGCTCATGTTGTATATCTGCGATTTTTCTCAATTTCACTTAACTTATTTTTCCCACAACTTTTCGCCATACGCGTCACATTTGTCATTCACAGCGCAACGCATATAATTTATTGAACAGCTGTTGCTCAAGATATCGATAGCTTCAATATCGGCAGGCAAATCTATCGATGTCAATATGCACAAAATACACGGTCACACTACCTAAAATTTCTGCGCAGCAGCATTTGCTTAAGCCCATTTATAAATTGACTCAGCATAAAACAAGACTTATCTGCCTTTATAAAATCGTTTCGTATATTTTGCCAACGTTTGTTTGCATTCTCCTGCACTAGGCTGCCTTTGAGCTGCAATTTAATTGCAATGAATTCACAACACTTTGAAAAACTACCAAAAATGCAACTAGTTTAAACCGGTTTAAGCCGGCTTTTCATTTGCAGCATTCCATTGCAATCACTTTAAAAGAACATGTGAGTTTGGAAGAGCCTCAAAAATGCCAGGTCGAAATCTTATTCATGTCCATTTCGAAATGCACTTACCGCACAATTCGTGCTTATAATAATATAGGCACTTTACACAGCATGCGGCACATTGGAAAAAGAGGAAATTTTACATATTTGCGTAATTTACAGTTATAGTTTTTGCGATGGCATCAATTGTGCAAGCACATTGAAAATAGTGCACGCAGCATCACACACACTTATCACTTGAATAGCTTTCAATCGTTTATTGGTTAACATCACAAATATACGAAATCGAATTCAATAGTTATGTTACTTCAAACGTTTTCTTATTGGTTTTGTGCACTTAACAATTTCTTCACTTTCCCGTTCACGCGCCATTCTTTCGCTTTGCCATTCGCCACGAAACTAAATTTATGTGCATTTCTTGTCGCAACACGTTGGCAGCACCGTCTAAAAATGTAGCTGCTGTAGGTAATGCGGTCACATTGTGCACAGCTGTTTGAAATTTATTAACAAATAAAAGATAACATATATATTTATAAAAATTAATTATCTCTTGTAAGCGTTTTAATGAGCAAGTATCAATATATGCCCTGCAGCTGCAGTCGTTTTTAATCTGTAACAATTGGCGGTATGTTTACGTTTTGAGCAGCCGGATTGAGCTATTTCCCATTAATCTGGATGCTTCCTTTTAGCTTCAACCGAAAACTGATCAACATGGAAGATGAAGTGATAGTGATTGGTCCAAAGAAGGCGCCCAAGCCGAGCAAAATATATAAATGTTCCAAGTGCAGCTATCAGACAAATCGCGCCTATAACGTTCAGCGACATCTGGTTAATCACTACGAGAAACCGCCCAAGGAACTGCAGCACATCTGCCCATATGCGGGCTGCTCCTTCTCAACTTTGCGCTGGGATAATCTCAATCGACACATGCAACGAGTACATGGTGTCAAAAAGACAAGAACGACAATAGCAACAAGCGAGACTGCCGCCGAAGCAATGCCCTGTGAAGAGGACGAGGAGCCAGCGCCAAGTGAAGAGTGGGAACCGATGCCAAGTGAGGAGGGGGAACCGATGCCAAGTGAAGAGGATCTGGCATCTGTGGCAAGTGTAGAGTATGCACTCGACGAAGAGGATCTGGCGTCAATTGCAGATTATGACCAGGCATCAATGCCATCCGATGAGGAGCATGCGCAAACAATTGATGAGATTACAACAAATTTGAACAGGGAATCCACAACAAAGAAGCCCAGCATTGGCAAGCCAAAGTAAGTCTAGTGTCACACACTTTCCAATACAATTTGTGCTCATTAAATACTCTAACTTTTGCAGAAGAAACTATCAGAAGGGCAAAACCAAAACGTATGCATGCAACACCTGCAGCTATCGCACGAATCGCTGTTATAATATTAAGCGGCACATTGTCAAGCATATGGAGAATCCCAGCGACGGTGTACTCCTACACGTCTGCATTATCTCTGGCTGCAAATTTGTAACACCTCGTTGGGATAACCTGTGCAGACACGTCAAAAGAATACATCCCGAATCGGGGGCAACAGCACCGAACGCATAATCAAATTGCATTCTTATACATAATTGTACAAATAAATTAACAAAAACGTAATATAAAAAACGGACGAATTATAATTAGAAGCAGAAAAAGCTAAGGTGCTACAGTGAAGACTCTTCTAACAGCTGCCCTGACTCTAGGCAAACCCTCCCGGTATCCACAACAGAGCCGAGAACTTGCCAAGCCTTATTGTACATATAATTTGATTAACTTAAACTTACGTATCAGGGACATCATGAACAGCTACTGCGTGAAAAAGGAATTGCTCATGGAGCCCGTGCCCGTGGCTGAGCCGGAGCCGGAGCCGCCCGTTGTGCTCAATCCCAGCATGGAAGTATCCCGCTGCGATGCGGTGGCAATTCTTTGATAGCGCGCTATGTGATCCAGGGAATAGGGCAAAATTGGGCGCACACTGTGTATCTCCAGCAGCGTCAGATTGTCCAGCTTGGCGTAGGTGCCCTCGCCTTTAATGAAGGCATCGATCGAGGTGCGCAGCTTCGATTCGCGTATGTCGAATATGTCCTTGATAATTGTGCGCAACTCCTCGCAACGCGGCACATCATCTGGTGCCGTGCTCATCACCAGCTGGGCCACAACCATGTAATGCTCGCTGGGCATCTTTGTGAAGAATCTGTCAAGGTAGAACAGGTGACAGGTGACATTAATTGGGTTTGTCACATATCAACAGATTGAAACGCTCAACTCACTTGGAACGCTTCTCCTCCTCCTTAATCTCCTCCAGCGTTTCGAGATCCATCCATTCCGGCGGCACAATGCGGCACTTTTGTTGTTTTCGCAAGTGCGTCGCCAGCCACAGGGGCACATATACAGGAAAGCCGGCGCGAAAAGGACCCACCGTGCCATAAATTAGATGAAGCGCTTCATTGGAGAAATTTGGTATTATGCTAATCATGGACTTCTCGCCAATAAACTCAATTATTGAGGGATCCATATTTATTGTTAGTACTTTTCAATGCCAAAGCAAATTCGACAAGGCGAAAGAAATGATATCGATATCGTTGAAAAGCGCGCCGATAAATGCGATCGATAGTTGGCCGACAAAAGCTGCTTGCTATGACAGTTGAGGCACAGCGAAAAGGCCGTTACTTTTTGTTTTTTTTTTGGAGGATTTGAAAATTCAAATGAAACGAGAACTTGCGTCAAATAGACAAATGTCGCCATCAATTAAATGGAAGTGCATAAATAAATAAATACATTGAAGCGACCCTTGAACGGGTTATCAGATGCAGCATTGCACATGACTAAGCTTTGATTTTCGAAAATGTTATTGCAAATCACGTCAACGTTAGGTTTGGCGTCATGATAAGCGCATGAATGCCAGACATGATCAAGCGTTCAAGTTCACAAATGCTTAGAGAGCAAACGCGATGGAGACATAGAGAGAGAGAGAGAGAGCGAGAGGGACTGTACCTAATCCCTACGTAATTAGCCAAATCTAAATCTTCAATGCATTGCATAAACAATGCAAACGATTGCACAGCCCAGGCATCTCTTATCATCTTATCAGCTCCCTCTCTCTCTCTCTCTCTCTCTCTCTCTATTAACTATTTAAGTGAGCGTCAAATGCGCTAATGTTCAATTAATTGCTGAATCTAAGGTTACGACAAGGTCAAGCTAGGGTTAAGCGCTGCATTGTTTCAATGCAGCTTGCAGCCAAGTCCAGATTTAAGTCTAAATATAGAGGAACATTTCTGTGTACAAAAACTACGCAAACAACAAGAATAACGACTTGTTGACTTATCGCTCTCAAAGACAAACGCTGTCGGGCTGATAAAACCGGACACAGCCGGTTAATACCAGATTAATCTAAGCCTAGTTTTGAGCCCTTGCAAGCCTTGTACTCCTCGAGCTTCAGGCTAAGCTTGTGGAGTACAAGTCCCCAACGAATGCCCATGGAACACCTTTTAGAAGTCTAGTGAAACTTCCAGCAAGCACTCTTTGTGGCACGCTTTCGCACATACATAATACGCTGCGACCTATTGATAGATTATACTTCGAATGGGGACTGAACGATGATTTTCTGATAAGCCATCTTTCGTGTGGACTCTGTGGAACCTGAGTACGCACATAAACATTGCTTTTTTTTTGAAGAAAAATGCGAGTTGAGCGCGAGATTGGCATTAGTGCTCGTCTATTTTTGGCAGAGTACGGAGCTAGCTGGCTACCGCGAGAAATCGGCAATCGACAGCTCTAAAGCCAGCTGGAAAAACAGACACGGAGACACAGAGACACCGAGACACACAGTTTTTCCAGCCCGACCAATTGCAGTTTGGACTTGTAGATCACGGTGCATTAAATTGTTTTTTGGTTTTGTTTTGATTTTTGGCGCCGTGCTCCCTCACACTCTCAGAGTGTCCACCTGCCTCGACTGCAGCACGGTAAGCGTTCGCTTTGTCCGTCCGTATATATAAGTATATTGAGATAGATAGAAGCGTCTCATTGATAAGCAACGACCACACAGACGTCAAGCTCGTTGCATCTCTCGACGCGACCCAGACCCAGAGACCAGAGCCCAGACAGCCAGTGCATTTCGTGTGGCCCAATTAGTTGTTAGCCACACACCGCAGCGCAAACAAGTTCACGGCTCGAACATAAGGTGCCCTACCCAAGAGCCCTACTCTACAGCCATACTCAAGAGTCGTACTCTACAGCCGTACTCTACAGCCGTACTTTACAGCCGTACTCTACAGCCCTATTCTACAGCATTAATCTACTGCCGTACTTTACAGCCGTACTCTACAGCCGTACTCTACAGCCGTACTCTACTGCCGTAATTTACAGCCGTACTCTACAGCCGTACTCTACTGCCGTAATTTACAGCCGTACTCTACAGCCGTACTCTTCAGCCTAACTCTACTACCGTACTCGAAAGTCGTGCTCTACAGCCGTACTCTACAGTCGTACTCTACAGCCGTACTCTACAGTCGTGCTCTACAGCCGTACTCTACAGCCGTACCCCATATCCTGTTCGAAACAACCTTTTTTAACTGGTTTAAAACTATGTGCCAAGACTCCAAGTGATATTTATTCGTGTGCATTGTTTTATTCTATAAATACGTTTAGTATCCAGCATCTGTAACTGAAATCTACCACAAACAAACAAATCAAAATGCCGGACACGGAGATCATTGTGACCAATGCCGGGGAGCCCTCGACCAAGGCCAGCCTGATTGTTGTCTCCAACCGTTTGCCCTTTGTCCTGATACGCAATCCCAAAACCAAGGAGCTCGAACGCAGAGCCAGGTAAGTTATCAAAGCATTAAACTGATTTATTTTTTCAAGCATGAGAATAGTTTAGATATGTGTCCAAAGAGCTTGCTTGAACCTGAGCCTATCAAAAAGTGAGACAAAGTCATTCCGAAATATATTTCTTTAAAGTGATAACTGAATAAAGCAAGGCTGAGAACCCAATAAAAAAGCTTGAAATTCGAATTGAACCCGCAAATTTGAACCCGCTTTTTGGTTCAAACCCAATATTACCCAATATTACGTGAAAAATATCCAATTAAACATTCTCAAATGGTATGTTTAAAATTAAGGAGACAAAATCTTCAATTGTTCTTTGATTTCTCAAATGTACCAAATTGATTTTAAACTAGATTTTAGCATAGACTGTGGCTAATTCCTTTTAAAAAAGTTTCATTCAAAACTCAATTTTAAGTTGAACTAAATTCGTGTGTGCAATAAAAATGAATTTAAAACAAAAACGTGTATAATATTAAGGACTTTTTACAGTCCAATTAGAACAAAGTGTTTGCATCTGGTGACTGTACATTTTTCTATGAAAAGAACGCTAAAAGTTAAAAATTCAGAAGTTTTACTCAGGTATTAATTTTTTTCGAATTAACCAACGTATAACTTAACTGAATATGTAAAAATGCGTTTTTTCGGCAACTTAAAACACTGAGCGAAAACGTTTCAAGTGACTTTCCAACACTGCAAAGCAAAGCAATTCAACGGTAAAAGTTCATTGTACGAGTACAGTCCTGTCCGTTAGTCCGACCAAAAAAAAAAAAAAAACAAAGCCATAATCCACTATATAGATTAATAATATATATACTATAACACACAAATGTTTCCATGGAACAATACTTATCAAAATCTCGTGACAAGAGCGAAGCAAAGCTCCAGCTAAAATCAACTTTTCCGAATTGTTCTTTGATTTCTCAAAAACTAACCCAGTTCATGTGTGTTGGGCATACAATTTGCATCAAAGATAAGCCGCAGAGTAAAGCCCCCTCGATAGGGAACCGAATTACCTATGTGACAATCTATACATATATATATACATTTCTTTATATATATATATATATAGAGGGAGAGATGATATTGTTTCCACACGCTTCTGGTGATTAGTGCCCTATAAGGCTGTCAGCGTCTTATCAGCGCAAAATACACAGAGCGAGAGAGAGAGGGCGGGAGGGAGAGTGGGCGAAAGAGGGAGGAGGTATTTGGGATGAGCAAAGCGGAATGCAAAGTCTAGCAAATTGGATGGAAATGTAATGAAATTAGAAAACAAATTCAATAATACCGACGTCCCTTATCTCAGCGATGCCCATTAGGCGGCTTTGACCCCTAACCCCGACGAAGGCGAGACAACGTTGCCTTAAAGGGGTCAATAATAGAGGAGGCCTCCATAACGATGCAGAGCTGCGTACCTGACACTGAAAATATCAAAATCACGTGCACATTTTGGACAATCTCTCACACTCGCACTGACCCTACACACAAAAAGCTGCGTGCGGCTGGGACTTGAAATTTTTGGGGTTTCGAATTATATATGTTTATAATTTTTTTTTTTTTTTTTGGTATTGGCCTCTGGGCCGGCCAGAGTCGAGGTTGTTTACACTTGCAGCGTATCAGGCACGGCCGCTGTTTTTTATGGTTTGTTGCTTATCAGTGCGGTTAGTGTCAGTGTCATTGTGATGCACCCTGCATAAAACGGGGCTGGGACTGAATCTTTTTGCATATACAAATATAGGCATACACATATATATAATATATATATATATACATATATATATATATAGACCTGCCAGGCGGCGAGAATTTTCCGGAAACATTGAAACGCGTCTTCAATGAAATTTTACATAGATTGTGTGAAGGAGATCCGATGCAAAAAAAAAAGGTTCATCAAAACTGTCTAAAAACCTATTAGAATGAGAGCTTTTCTTAATTATTCACTGTTTCGAGAGGAATTTGTTAATATCGCATCAATCTTCACAAAATTTAACTGCTGAATGTATTTAGTACTGAAGATATTCACTAGGTCAATCATTAAATCAGTCAATCCATCAATCAATCAGTCAGTCATTATTAAGCAATCATTAAATCAGTCAGTCAGTATATTAATCAATCAGTAAGTCAGTCCGTCAGTATATCAATCAATCAGTGAGTCAGTCCGTCAGTATATCAATCAATCAGTAAGTCAGTTAGTCTATCAGTCAGCCCGTCAGTCAGACATATCAATCAGTCAGTAAGTCAATGACTCCATCAGCCAGTTCGTTAACTAACCACTCAAAGATATCCGTCAGTCAATCAGCTTGTCAGCTTGTCAATCAATCAGTCAGCCAGTCGTCTAAAAATGCAATCAATCAGTAAGTCAGAGACATTAGTCAGCCAATCAGTTTGTCTGCCTGTCAATCAACCGGTCAGTCAGCCCGTCAGTAGGCCAAAAATGCAATCAATCAGTGTTTTCTTCAATCAATCAGTCAGAGACATCAGTCAGCCAATCAGTTTGTCTGCCTGTCAATCAACCGGTCAGTCAGCCCGTCAGTAGGCCAAAAATGCAATCAATCAGTGCGTTTTTCAATCAATCAGTCAGAGACATCAATCGTTCAATAAGTGTGTCAGTTGGAATTTTGTCATTCTGTCGGCTTAAATCCAATCAATCAGCCAGTCAGTCAGCCAGTCCGTCAATCAATCGGTCTGTCAATCCACTAGTCTTTCAATCAACCAGTCAGTCAGGTATATCATCCAATCAATCTGTCAGTCAACCACTCCTCGAGTCAATCAATCAATCAATCAGTAAAAGTTTAATAAATGTATACATACTTCTTCCGCTTAAGTCCACCTCATTAAGTCGAATGTTTGTTTTGCAGCGCCGGCGGTCTTGTTACGGCCGTCTGTCCGGTTGTGATCAAGGGCGGCGGCTTGTGGGTGGGCTGGTCGGGCATACATCTCGAGGATCCCAATGAGGCCATACCGGAATCGAATCCGTACGATCAAACACCGACGGCTGGCCTAAAGTCCGATCAAGTGGTTTCAGTTAACATCGATGCAAAGATCTTTGATAGCTACTACAACGGCTGCTGCAACAAGATCTTCTGGCCGCTCTTCCACTCGATGCCGGGCCGCGCCAACTTTGGCGGCGAGCACTGGCTGGACTATGTGACCGTGAACAAGTATTTTGCGGTGCGCACTATCGAGGCGCTGGAGAAGTGCCTGGCGAAGAAAAATGGCAGCGAAAAGAATCCGCCGATTGTTTGGATACACGACTACCATCTGATGCTGGCCGCCAATTGGGTGCGTGAGCATGCCGAGGAGAAAAACTTGCCGTGTCGTTTGGCCTTCTTTCTGCACATACCCTTTCCGCCATGGGACATCTTCCGCCTGCTGCCCTGGTCCGATGAGATACTGCAGGGCATGCTCGGCTGCGATCTGGTTGGCTTCCATATACAGGATTATTGCCTGAACTTTGTCGACTGCTGTCAGCGCAATCTGGGCTGTCGTGTGGATCGCAACAATCTGCTGGTGGAGCACGGCGGACGCACGGTGCGCATCCGGCCGCTGCCCATTGGCATTCCGTACGAGCGTTTCGTGAATCTTGCCCAGAATGCGCCCAAGGTGCTGAAGACGTCGAAGCAACAGATCATTCTCGGCGTCGACCGGCTGGACTATACGAAGGGTCTAGTGCACCGCCTGATGGCGTTCGAGGCGCTGCTGCTCAAGTATCCGCAGCACAAGGAGAAGGTTAGCCTGCTGCAAATCTCGGTGCCATCGCGCACCGATGTCAAGGAATATCGTGAGCTCAAGGAGGAGGTCGATCAGCTGGTCGGACGCATCAATGGACGCTTCACCACCGCCAATTGGGCGCCCATACGCTATATCTACGACTATGTGAGTCAGGATGAGCTGGCCGCTCTCTATCGGGATGCGGCCGTTTGCCTGGTGACGCCGCTGCGCGATGGCATGAATCTGGTGGCCAAGGAGTTTGTCGCCTGCCAGATAAATGAGGTGCCCGGCGTGCTGGTCATTTCACCATTTGCCGGCGCCGGCGAAATGATGCACGAGGCGCTGCTCTGCAATCCGTACGAGGTGAACGAGGCCGCCGAGGTAATACATCGTGCTCTGACCATGCCCGAGGATGAGCGTGTGCTGCGCATGGCCCGTCTGCGTCGTCGCGAGGCCGAATGCGATGTTAGCCACTGGATGCGCTGCTTCCTGAAGGCAGTCGGCGCTCTCGAGATGGACGATGTGGGCACCACCATCATGCAGCCTGTCTCAGTGGATGACTTCGATGACTACTTACTCAAGTGAGTACCATTTCCTGCCGCTTGGCTGCACTTACTCCAATTGTTTTGCTCGCCTCAGATACATCGGCTATAATCACAAGCTGGCCTTGTTGCTGGACTATGATGGCACTCTGGCGCCAATTGCTCCGCATCCGGATTTGGCCACGCTATCGCCTGAGATTAAGAACGTTCTCTTCAAGCTCTCCAATCACTCGGATGTCTATGTGGCCGTCATTTCGGGTCGCAATGTCGACAACGTTAAGAAAATGGTCGGCATCGAGGGCATCACCTATGCAGGTAATCATGGTCTGGAGATTCTGCATCCCGATGGCAGCAAGTTTGTGCATCCCATGCCCATTGAGTACGAGGATAAGGTCAGTCTATTGCTCAAGGCGCTGCAGGACTCGGTGTGCCGCGACGGCGCCTGGGTGGAGAACAAGGGATCGCTGCTGACATTCCATTATCGTGAGACGCCCACACACCTGCGTCCCGATATGGTTGACAAAGCGCGCGGCCTGATCGAGAAGTACGGCTTCAGGGCAACGGAGGCGCATTGCGCGCTCGAGGCGCGTCCGCCGGTACAGTGGAACAAGGGTCGCGCCTCCATTTACATATTGCGCACATCCTTTGGCGTTGACTGGAACGAACGCATCAAGATCATCTATGTGGGCGACGATAACACCGATGAGGATGCCATGGTGGTAAGTAGTTACGCCTTGAGACACACTGGCGAACACCACTAATCGATACACAATTCACAGGCACTGAAAGGTATGGCGCGCACGTTCCGCGTCACCTCCTCGGATATTGTGAAGACCGCTGCCGATCATCGCTTGCCATCGACTGACTCCGTTTACACGCTGCTCAAGTGGGTGGAACGGCATTTTATGGGCCGCAAGGCGCGCGCCAATTCGTTGACTTATCGCCCCACTAAGGGCGATGGCGTCCAAATGCAAATGTCCCTCGAGGTGGCCACGTCAGCCAACAGCCTGGACGTGTAGCGCGGCCAGTGTTAACCGAACATATATGCATATATATATATATAATTTGTAAGATCTTAAGAATAACGTAAATAAAATAAATCAAAAAACCACAATTAACACAATTTCTCAAATTAAATACATTAATTTACAATCGATTTGGTTATGCTATGGAAAGTTGCGGTTCAGTTAATAAACTTAAGCTAATAACTAATTATGGGACAGGACTAGCCATGATATGACGAAGAAAAACAGAAATATGGGATACACGGCAAGCGGCTTGCGATGCGGCGGTTGACTTTGGCCCAGAAATATGAACGATGCTGTACAATTAAATGAAATTATATTTTATTATATTATAAGAAACAATGTACTTCAGGCCAACTTACCATATGTGGCCCAGGCAAAGCCGAGCGTTGTGGTCACAAAGCGTAGAAAGAAGAGAAAACGTGTCGACGTCGACAGCAAGATGATGCGACAGATGATCAAAGCCAGCGCCACGGGCGTCAGGCAGTAGCCGAGCACACAAACCGATTGAAAGAACGAGCTGGAAAAGGTATTCGAATTAGGAGACGACTCTGAACAACATAGTCGACATGTGTTTGTGATCATTAAAGTGGATGATCGGACCAATAATATTCGAGTACTATTAAGTTCGTATATGAACTCTTTTGTTTTTTGAGTTAACTTGAGATAAAAGGAAGCATCGCTCAAATTAAGGATCTGGCATGAAGAACTTTAGGATATATGATATATAAACATGAGCCCTACATATAAGCAGTCTTATCGATATCGGAACAGCATAGGATATAGCTGACATGGAAAGAACCAGTCGAAACGAAAAGGTATTTGGATAGCAAAATATTTTGCTTTTCAAGTTATCAATCGTAAGCCGATTTTCCAGAAGGGTAGACACACTTCGGCCGCTCCTTCCTGGTTTTAGACATATATATACTTACATATTGCCACCTAGGAGCTTGGAGTTGAGCGTTACGATGGCTGCGCCTATCCAAACAATCACAAAGACCTGTGCGAATTCTGGTCCATTGTCGGACATGCTGTCGGCAGACGAGGAGCCTTGCAGTATGGTGGCCATAAATGTGCACAGCACCAATGGACCCCACAAATCCCCTGTAAACAGAAAGTGCACACATATTACAAACTGCTGACGCATACAACTGGCTGCATGCTGATGACGTACAATCGCGCAGCAGACTCGACTTCTCCTTGGGATAGAGCACATGATAGAACTTGATGCCAACGGCGCGCATATCCCTTAGCACCGTCTCGCGTATGGGCTCGTCCAGGGTATTGTATTCGGGCACACCGTGCTGTGCTGTTGTTGTTGTTGTAGTCCGTTTACCCGGTATGGACATGTCACCCTCCAGGGAGGGCGATGTGTTGACGTCCTCAAACATCTAGAAACGATAAATATTCATTGCCAATTGTTGGCGATCGTTTGCCTAAAGTACTTACATCCAATCTGGCATCCATTTAGAAGTTGCTATTATTTGTTTTCGTTACGTGCAGGCATAAAAAATCATAGATTCGTTCAATGCAATCAATTGACAACACTTTTTCTTCTCAAGTTATCGCATGAAATTTATCGATATTTATTACCGTACGGTATCGATACTTATATTAAGCTCACGCAGTGGAATCGAATTAATTGTTTTTAAATGTGAATACTTTAAAAGGCAACTGAATTTGATTTGACTATTTTTAATGTTTTTACTTAATATTTAATTCCTATCTATATGAATAAATTCTAATATATATATATATACAAATAAGTATGTAATTATCGCTGAGTATCTCGAAAAACAATCTGCCGTAAATTAAAAATGTTAACACGAACTCTCGGCATGAGTGCCAATGTGCGTTTTGAGGTAGGCAGCGCGAGTGAAGGCTTTTGGACAGTGCGGACACTTGTGCGGACGCTCGCCTGTGTGCGAGCGTATGTGCCTACCCAGATCTCCCTTATCTATACAATTTTTCGGACAGTGTGGACACTTGAAGGGATGCTCGCCCGTGTGCGTTCGAATATGTCGCTGCAGCTGCCAGGCATAGACAAATTCCCTGGAGCACTCTGTGCACTTGTAGGTACGCTCTCCGCTGTGATAACGCATATGCTCCTCGAGCTCGGCCTCCTCGATAAAGTATCTTGTGCACTGCGAACACTTGTAGATTTGTTTGCCTGGATGCGTGGAGACGTGGTATTGAAGATCCGTGTGCCGCATAAACGCTCTCAGGCAATGGGGACACTTAAAGGGACGTTCACCCGAATGTATGCTGATGTGCTTGCGCAGATTCGACGACTGACTAAACGCCTTCGAGCAGTGTGGACACTGAAATGGCCGTTCGCCCGTATGCGTACGAATATGTGCATTGAGGTGGGATTTTTGCGTAAATGCCTTTTGGCAGTGCGGACATATAAACTGGCCTTTTTTCACATCAATGCCAGAAGGCATCTCGCCAGCAGCAGTGGGCTTGAAAGCTTCAGTTTCAGCTTGTTGCTCCTTGATGTAATCCTCGGTATCCTTTTCGACTTTGACATGGCCCAGATCTATGCCCTGCTCCGCCAGTTCCCAGTTTTCTGTTTCAAGCAGTTCGGACTGGACATTCAGCGCGCTGTTCTTTAGTTTTGTGCTAGATGAGCTTTGATTGGAGCTATCAATATCGCCCTCTTCAGGTTTGCATTCCATTTTGTCGCCAGTACTCAACAATTCGTCTGCTTCCATCTTAACCCGCGCCAGGTCTATGTCTTCCTCTGGTATTTCTACCTTTATTGCACTCATCATCTTACTTTTCTTAAGTTTCTCGCTTAACACCTGATGGCTCTTCTCGCACCTGCGCTTGAAGGCAAATGCCGTTTGTATATCACAAATGCACGAGAGGCACATTTTCTCCGGTAGCTCATCATTTGGTTCTATCTTTATGGAGGCGACGCACTCGTTTAGCATAGCTGCCAGACTTGGTTGCCTCTGATCGGTGAATATATCCACGAGTGCCACTGAGCTGGTCATGCAAGTGCGGCATACTTGTTCCATGGCTGTGTTCATTTAATTTCAGCGAAACTTCCATATACATATTAATTACAATTCAACAACAACAAAAGATGGGCAAAATCAAGAACTATCGAAGTTTCAAGAGTATGTCGCGATAGTTGACTTATCGATATTATGTCACTGATGATAAACATAAAGTATCGAAACCATTTTAAATCAAATTGTTCGAGGTGCACGCAATTTCCTGGATGAAAACAAATGCCATTGCAATTTATAATATTTAAGTTGATAATTTCTTGCAATAAGTACAAATACATCGGCGAGAGGCTATAAGCCAGTGGCAATGTAAACAACAATTCTAAGGTATCGAGTACAACACCTAACCAAAGATGGACCATCTCAAGAACTATCGAATCGATGCCACATCACTAATGATAAACACAACGTATACATATGCCAGAATAAAAACAAAACAAAAACCATTCTGTACACATTTCTGAATTAGATGTTCATTAATGAGAGCATTGTAGTGCGCAGTAAACGGCAATTCAACCCCTTGGTCTCAAAGGGGTCCCTTGCAACATGAAGCGGACAATTCATTTTTGGGAAATCCTTTAGCAACAGACGCGAGACACACAACATTATGGCATAGAAAACCTAATTTGGGGATTTACCCGGTTTTACCGGCCTCTATATTAAAAACTTCAGAATGGAAAGGAAGAAAGTACTTAGTTTAAAGGAAAAAATGGAGGTTATAAGCGCGTACGATCAAACTAATTCATCAGTGCGTGCATTAGCCAAAAGGTAAAACTACATGCAAAGAAAATCGATTACAAATTAAACCATAAATATATATTCGTCAACAGGTTCAACATAGGAAAAACACAGGCTGCGCTCATTGTTCGCGACAGGGAAACAATTCGGTCGAGATGGTTATCCGGTGAAAACATCCATACGAAAAGAAGCTTCCTGAATGCAGACGGCAAAAAACTCGACTCCATGTGCTACGATTGGTTCTGTAAACTAAGCAATGCAAATAATACTCCAATATCTGGCTCAGCTATACAAGAGAAAGCAAAGGAGATCGCAACGAGCCTCGGCATTGACGACTTTGCAGCCTCCAACGGTTGGCTCCAAAGGTGGCGCAAGAGACACAACATCAATTCGCGATGTGAACCAAGAGAATCAGCCGATGTGAATCCATTGGATGTTCATCAGTTTTTAGAAACTGAAATTGATAGCAGCGATACGGTATTCGTAATTGACGACAACAGCAATACGGATACGGATCTTGTAGCTGAAGTTTCCTGTGAGCTGAACACAGTTAAAAGCGCTTTAATATACATTGCAAATTTAAAGCAATTTCTAAAAAACGATCACATTGCTTTTGAACATTTAAAGAATTTGGAAAACCATATGGAAAACAGACTCTTAAAATGTAAGCACTTATAGAGTTATGTATTATAACAACTTATTATTAAACCATTTTAATTTCGTCGTACCTCTCTTAAGCGGACAAAAAAGCTCGATATATATAGTTGTGTTTCTGGAATTTCCTACATTTTATTCCTCGACATTTTTCTTGGTATGAGTCATAATGTGCTTTCGCAAATTTCTACGATGACACACCTTTGGACAGTGTGGACACTTGTAAGCCCGGGGCCCAACGTGAAAGCGCGCGTGTTCATCGTGTTCCGCTTTCTCTAAAAAGTATTTTCTGCAGTAAAGACACTTTAATGGAGTCTCACCAGCATGCGTAAAGATGTGTGTGCGCAGATTCGCGGACTTTTTAAAGGTTTTGGGACAGTGTGGACACTGAAGCGGTGGTTCGTCCAAATGCGTACGCATGTGAATCTTGAGCGAAGATTTATTCTTATAGGCTTTCGGGCATTGCGCGCATTTAAATTGTTTCTCTTTAGCAGCAATTTCAGACCCGTGAACAGCAGGAGAGTTGCGCTCCACGTTGCATTCTTCGGAGCTCTTTGAGCTTCGTTCAGTTTGTTGCTCCCTAATGTTATCTTCTTTACCTTTTGCTGCTTTGGTGCAGCCTATTTCATTGTCTTGCTCGGCCAGCTCCGAGTTTTCATTCCTTTCAGACTGGACATTTACCGCCTTGTTATCTGCGGGATGGGATGCAATGTGGTCTTTAAAAAATGATGGATGAGTATAGATTTTTGGACAGTGTGGGCATTTGTAAGCCCGGTGCCCAATGTGATAGCGCGTGTGTTCATCGAGCTTGGCCTTCTCTAAAAAGTATTTTCTGCAATGAGGACACTTGAGGGCAGTTTTCCCTTCATGACTAAGAATGTGTATGCGTAGATTCCAGGACATTTTATATTTTTTTGGGCAATGTGGACACTTAAATGATCGTTTATCCGAATGCTTACTAATGTGATTTCTAAGGGAGGATTTAAGCGTATAGGCTTTCGGGCAATGTGGGCATATAAATTTGCCATTTTTAGTTTCTATTCTAGGTTTGTTAACAACAATGGGATTGCACACTTCGCTGTTCTCTCCGTAATGAGTTCTAATGTGCTTTTTGAGATACACAAAAGCCGTACAGATTTTTGGACAGTGTGGACATTTGTAAGCCCGGTACCCAATGTGATAGCGCACGTGTTCATCGAGCTTGGCTTTCTCCAAAAAGTATCTTCTGCAGTAATGACACTTGAAGGCAGTTTTACCTCCATGAGTATAGATGTGTGAGAGCAAGCCCGTGAATTGTTTGTAGGCTTTGGGGCAGTGTGGACACTTATACGGGCGTTCGTCCGTATGCGAACGAAGGTGAAGTTTAAGGGCAGATTTACACGTACAGGCTTTTCGGCATTGTGGGCAAGAGTACTTATTCATTTTTTTAGTATTTCTTCCAGGCTCGTCAACAGCCAGAGGATTGCCAGTTTCGTGGCGCTCCACGGTGCATTCAGTTTGTTGCTCCTTAATGCTATCTTCTTTATCCTTTACTACTTTGCTGCAGCCTAATTCATTGTCTTGCTCGGCCAGCTCCCAGCTTTCTATTTCAATTAGCTCGGAACGGACAGTAACCTCGCTGTTGTTTAGATTTGTGTCATCCAGCAGACGGCTAGACTGTCTTTGATTGGAGTTATAGGCGGGTGCAGTATTAACGTCCCGAGAACTGAAAATACTTATGGGTGAATTTGCTTTGCGCTCATCTTCAGGCATGAATTCCATTTGATCCTCTGGCAATTTATCACCACTGCTCAACAATTCGTCTATTTCCATCCTGAGCCGAACTATGTCCACGTCCTCCTCTGGCATTTCCATATTTATTGTGGATTCCATCTTAATTTTATTCAGCTTTTCGCTTAACACCTGATGGCTTTCCTTACACCTGCGCTGGAAATCAAATGCCGTTTGCAGATCACAAATGCACGAGAGGCACATTTTCTGCGGCAGCTCATCATTTCGTTGCACTGCGATGGAGGTCACACACTCGTTTAGCATATCTGCCAGACTGGGTTGCCTCTGATCATCAAAGATATCCACGAGTGCCACTGAGCTGGTCAGGCAGGCACGGCATTCCACATCTGGTGGTGTGTCCACGAAGCTTCGGCAAATCTAGCATATATTAACATTAGACATACAAATGTTTCGTCATATATTTATATGTAAATACCGAAATGTCTTCGATTGTGTCGTCATCTTTACAAATCGTGATTCCGCCCAGTTTCTTAGAAATGACTATATTCGCATCCGAAGGATCAAACAAATTTAGGGTGGGGACTACATTCGATTTTAAGAACCTTTTGCCAATGGACTCCTTTTCAAAGTGTGAATCGCATATGACCGCACGCATCTTAAAATCGCGGGGTAATCCACATTTTTCAATCCATTGACGGCGAAGGCTCTCCTTTTTGGGAAACCGAAACATTTTCACCGGAGAGCCATTCCTGTAGCTGCGCCTGCACGACTTAACAATGCACTTGACACCGCTGCGCCTTTTATCGTACATCGCGTTCTTATTGTTCATTTGTCAGATAAATCGCTCAATGCTTTTTGTCAACTAAAATCGTTGCTATTCCTCTTGCTGTGGCGGGATAGAACGTTTTTTTTTTTTGCAATATGCATTCATACAGATGTGTCTCGAGCTTGTTAGGGTGCCGTTTAACTAGTGCGAGCGAGACAACAATCTACACCAGCATGCATACAAAGATGCATCTCGGGGCTCTACATTCATTTAAACAAACATATGTACATGCAGCAAGAGAGTGGCAGCATGCTCGAAGTTTGGCGCACATTCAGCAAACTTACTTGCGCAGGTCATAAAAAAAATTAACGCAAGCGTCGTCGTCTTGAACTCTACTTGCACGAAAATGGCAAAACCGCTTAGTGATGTCAGTTAATATTCACAACAAGAGATGGACCGAATTAAAAATATCGATAATAGCGATATCGGCTATCAATGCTACATTACTTGTGCTAAGCGTCACGGTAATTCCTTTTATTTAGTCACCTCACATAAGGAATGTCCAAATAATTCGAGAAGGTGTATTTAATAAATATAATAAATATAATATAATATAATAAATATAAGCAATTATCGTGTAGTGCAGCAACGATACTACTTGACTATGAATTTGCGATAGTTTTGAACTATCGTTAACGCTTTGAGATGCGCGAATAGCTGCTACCTATCGATGATGAATCATTAAATATATCGATTTTCCGATTTGGCGGAGACTATTGGGTATTTAAAATGTGAAACACAATTAAAAGCGCGTTAACATACATTGCAAATTTAAAGCAATTTTTAAAACACACATATTTAAAATTTCAAAATCCATATGCAAAATAGACTTTTCAGAATTTATAATGTTATCAATTATAAAACCATTTTAATGATATTGTTTCTTTTGTTCGATGATTGATGTATACAAAAATATATTTATGATTATATTTGACTGTGGTCTAAATTTAATTCATAACCATTTTCTGGTGTGAGTTCTCAAGTGCGATTCAAGCACGTCAGGACTTGTGAGGCTACATTTTCTCTTAAGGGCCTTTTGGCAATGTGGGCAATATTCTGGGCTCGTCATTCTTCGTAGCCCTTTGAGCTTTGTTCTGCTTGTTGCTCCTTAAAGTTATCTTCTTTATCTTTTGCTACTTTGCTGCAGCCTATTTCATTATCTTGCTCGGCCAGCTCCGAGTTTTCTACTTCAAGCTGTTTGGACTTGAATTTTGGGAGATGAGTTCTAATGTGCATTTGAAACTTTGTAGGATGAGTACAGATTTTTGGACAGTGTGGACATTTGTAGGCCCGGGGCCCAATGTGATATCGCGTGTGTTCATCGTACTTGGCTTTCTCCACAAAGTATTTTCGGCAGTGAGGACACTTGAAGGCAGTTTCGCCTTCATGACTTAGGATGTGTGCGCGCAGATTCGCGAACAGTGTATATGTTTTGGGGCAATGTGGACACTGAAATGGTCGTTCGCCCGTATGCGTACGTATGTGCATATTAAGGCTAGATTTAAATACAAAGGCTTTTGTACAGTGTGGGCATTTAAATTGGGTTTTTGTTGGATATATTCGAGGCTTTTTAACAGCAGTAGGATTGAAAACTTCGTGGCGCTCTGCGTTGCATCCTTCGTTGCGCTTTGAGCTTAGTTCAGTTTGTTGTTCCTTAATGCTATCTTCTTTATCCTCTACTATTTTGCTGCAGCCCATTTCATTGTCTTGCTCGGCCAGCTCCGAGTTTTCTGTTTCAACCCGCTCAGACTGGACAATTACCTCACTGTTTTTGGCGGCATGAGTTCTAATGTGCTTTTTTAACCTTGAAGGACGAGACATTATTTTTGGACAGTGTGGACATTTGTAAGCCTGGCGCCCAACATGATGCCGCCTGTGTTCATCGTACTTGGCCTTCTCTAAAAAGCATTTTCTGCAGTGAGGACACTTGAAGGCAGTGTTACCTCCATGAGAAAAGAGGTGTAAGCGCAGACCGTTGAACTGTCTAAAGGCTTTGGGACAGTGAGGACATCGATACGGTCGTTCGCCCGTATGCTTACGATTGTGAACTTTGAGCGAAGACTCCATTTTAAAGGCTTTTTGGCAATGTGCGCATATAAATTGTTTTTTTTTAGTTTCTATTCGAGAATGAGCTGCAAGGTGGTTTTTAAAATACGTAGCATTAGTAAAGATTTTTAGACAGTGTGGACATTTGTAAGCCCGGCGCCCAATATGATAACGCGTGTGCTCATCGTACTTGGCTTTCTCTAAAAAGTATCTTCTGCAATGAGGACACTTAAGGGCAGTTTTACCTCCATGAATATAGATGTGTGAGCGCAGTTTCGCGGAATATTTAAAGGCTTTGGGGCAGTGAGGACACTGATGCGGTAGTTCGCTCGTATGCGTACGAATGTGAAGTTTGAGTTTGGATTCCATTTTAAAGGCTTTCTGGCAGTGTGGGCATATAAATTGGTTTGCTTTAGTATCTATTCCAGGCTCGTCAACAGCAAGAGAATTGCGCTCTGCGTTGTATTCTTCGACGCTTTTTGAGCTTATTTCAGTTTGTTGCTCCTTAATGCTATCTTCTTTATCCTCCACTACTTTGCTGCAGCCTATTTTATTGTCTTGCTCGGCCAGCTCCCAGCTTTCTATTTCAAGCAGCTCGGACAGGACATTAACCTCGCTGTTGCTTGGATTTGTGTCAGCCAGCAGAAGGCTAGACTGTCTTTGATTGGAGTTATAGGCGGGTGCAGTATTAACGTCCCGAGAACAGAAAATACTTATGGGTGTAATGGGTGTATTTGGTTTGTAATCATCTTCAGGCAGGAATTCCATTTGATCCTCTGGCAATGCATCCCCACTGCGCAACAATTCGTCTATTTCCATCCTGAGCCGAACTATGTCCATGTCTTCGTCTGGCATTTCCATACTTATTGCGGATTCCGTCTTACGTTTATTAACCTTTTGCCGTAACTTATGATGGCTTTGCTCACACCTGCGCTGGAAATCAAATGCCGTTTGTAGATCACAAATGCACGAGAGGCACATTTTCTGCGGCAGCTCATCATTTCGTTGGACGATGATGGAGGCGACACATTCGTTAAGCTTATCCGCCAGACTGGGTTGCCGCTGATCGGCGAAGATATCCACGAGTGCCACTGAGCTGGTCAGGCAGGCACGGCATACTTCTAGTTCCACAGCTGGTGTTTTGTCCACGAAGCGTCTGCAAATCTAGCATATACACATATAAACGTTGAGAGTTCCTTTGTTTGCTCTTTTTTGTATATTTATTTATAAATACCGGCATATTGCCAATTGGGTTGGCTTTTCTACGAATCGGGATTGCGTCCATATTATCCGGTGCTTTAGGTAAGTCTATGTTCGACTGCGAAGGCTCTGGCAAATGTAGTGTGGGCACTGCTTCTGATCTTATTTTCTTTTTGAAAAAACAGTATGTTTCAAAATGTAAATCGCAAAGATACGCATTGCGCGTATCAATATCCTGAGGGAATCCACAACTCGCGATCCATTCGCGACGAAGAGCGTCATTGCTGGGAAATTTGAACAGTCGCACAAGCGGGCCGTTCCTATAGCTTCGCGAGCATGCTTTAATTCTACACTTAACACCCTTTCTCTTGTTATTGTACATCGTGTTAGTTTTTGCGTTGAATTAATCTCAACTGCAAGCTGAAGAGACAATGAAAATCGATCGTTCAGGCTTGCCAATCCTTTTTGGAAGAAAGGAGGCGAGACAAATAATGGAAATGCAAGCTCAGGAGAGTGAGCGAGATAACATTTTATACACACTTGTATCTAAGTGTTCGACAGAATCCAAAACAAATAATGTATTCCACGAATCTTTTTGCAAAAAGTCAAATATATCAAATGCAATTCTTCAACAACAAAAGATGGACAAAATGCATAGACAAACAATCGAATTCACAGAATATGCCACGATAGTTGGCCTATCGATGATAGATCATCGATGACAAGCATAAAGTATCTTAATGCCAGACCAAAACACAGGCAGTTTTGCAACTGAACGAGTGCCCGTTTTCAAAACTGGCAAGTAAATTGTCTCAATTAGTGCTATTTACCATTTTTAGGATAATAATGTGAAAACTATGCAAAAATAAATGTAAGCAATATTCGAAAGGTATCGGCAATTCGTAGCGCTTTCATCTCTAATTTGATTAAGTTGATAGCGTTGCCAACTGTATGCAAAATACTGGCAGCAGCGCAACAGGTACTTGGCAACGCACACATGCATTTCGCACAACCAAAACGAACAACAACACATAAACATAGAGAGTAATTTTCAATTTGCGGTAAAATACGAATCCAGAACACAGCAGATGCAGCAACAGGTGCAAAATGTACCAATAACAAAGAAACTGCCGCTACTGCTGGTGTTGCGGAACCTTCGCCTACGTAATTGATCCTTGTGATAGCCGCAAATAGGCACCATATTTCTTAATATTCAAGAGTTTTGTATCCTAACTTATAAACGATTAAAATGTTAATAAAAGCCTGGCACAGAGCAGAGCGGTGTTAACAAAAGCGCTTACAGCAGCTTAACATTTCAACTGTTAGCGATTTCATGTAATAGCAAAGTATGTTAACATGCACAGTTATTTGCCATTAAAAAATGTTTAAAAACAAAATGTAAAAAATACTTTAAAAAATATTTTTTAATGACTTACGTTTATTTGAAACGCCTCTCCATCTGCTTTCATTAACTTTACAGCAACCGGATGTGGTGCGTGGGGACATACGCTTTGCGCTTTGCCAGCTGCAGCTGTCGACCAAGTAGAAGGTTCCATTTCCGCACGTCTTGTCGGTGGTGATGCGTGAGAATCCCGGCGGCTATCTGTCGCTATTCACACAGGGCACTGCAGACATTATGCTGGACTGCTGCTGCGACGATTTGTGGAACGGCAAGGATTTGCGTCCATTGTCGCCGCAGGATCGTGCCACTGTGCATGGGACTTTTATTAAGCACAGCGAACTGACCTCCTACTGCTGCGTCATGCTGCATTCATGGAGTGCTGAGCGGACCGCTGTACAGCCATGGGCAGATCGCATATCTGGAGCTGCCGCCAGAGTCGAAGCTGGGCATGTGCAGCATGGATTTCGTGGGCGCACACCATGTTAAGCTGTTTCGGTGCGCAAGGATGCGGATTGCAGCGATGTGGAGGATTGCGTTCAGATGCAGTGCCATAAAGTTTTCACGCAAAATTACATTGTCCGCTTTTTCAGCAAGGAGAACGAGCTGCGCGAGTCCGACTGGAGGAAATATCACATTTGGCGGCTCACCGAACTAGTGTTGTAAAACGTTGCATAAAAGTATCGATTGTTGTTATCGATGGTTTCTCATAACGGCAGCGATACTTGTTTTGTGGGCCTTAACTGGATTTTAGTAATTGATTGAAGCCGAGCCGTTGCGGTTGCACTTGTTTTAGTCCATCGAATTAACTAAGTATTAGCAACAAAATGACCAAAACCCGAGTTTATGTTGTTGGTGTTGGCATGACCAAGGTAAATAAAGAAACACGAAAACGCATGCATGTAAATATGTTGGGACCGTTGCAACAAAGCAAAAGCTGAGGCTGCCACACAAGTTGCTTCATGCACTTCGCGACAATTATCGCACTCGGACTTTGAACTACGTCGCACTTCAATCTCTCTTGTTGTTGCTGCGTAATCTAAATCTCCGATTAAATACTCTGGCTATAAGTATTAGCATTTGGACTTAATGGAATTGACCTTTTCCTCTAGTTCGAGAAACCTGGTCGCCGCGCTGACGTCTGCTATCCGGACTTTGCTAAGGAGGCAGTCACCAAGGCGCTGCAGGATGCCAAACTCCAGTACACGGATGTGCAACAGGCCGTTGTCGGCTATGTCTATGGCGACTCCACCTGTGGCCAGCGTGCGGTCTATGAAGTGGGCATGACAGGCATTCCCGTCTACAATGTGAACAACAATTGCTCCACGGGCTCGAGTGCCTTGTACCTGGGCAAGCAGATCATCGAGGCGGGCAGCGCAGACTGTGTGCTGGCTCTGGGCTTTGAGAAAATGGAGCGCGGCTCGTTATCATCAAAGGTATGCTGAAATCCATTTTGGACTTGGCTTGAAATGCTTAACAAAATTCTCTTCATTGTTAGTACTTTGATCGTGCCAATCCCATGGAGCGTCACATCACCGAAATGGGTGCGCTGACGGAAATAGGACCTGGGCCAATGGCTGCCCAGATCTTCGGCAATGCCGGCAAGGAGCACATGAAGAAGTACGGCACAAAGCCGGAGCATTTTGGCAAGATCGCCTGGAAGAACCACAAGCACTCCGTCAATAATCCGTAAGTGCAATTACCAATTGTTATAGATCTTTATCTTATCTATTTTGTGATTAGTTACTCGCAGTTCCGCGATGAATACAGCCTGGAGCAGATTATGAAGTCGCCGCAGGTGGTTGAGGGCGTGCTGACCAAGCTGCAATGCTGTCCCACATCGGATGGCTCTGGCGCCGCCATTCTGGCCTCCGAGCAGTTCGTGCGTCGTCATGGCTTGGAGAAGCAGGCCGTGGAGATTGTGGGCATGGAAATGGCTAGCGATCCGGAGTCAACTTTCGCCGACAAGAGCCTCATGAAGATTGCTGGCTACGACATGACTCGCCTTGCCGCGGAACGTCTGTTCGCCAAGAGCGGCTATAAGCCGCAGGATGTGCAGGTCGTGGAGCTGCACGATTGCTTCTCGGCCAATGAGCTGGTCACCTACGAGGCGTTGGGTCTCTGTGGCGAGGGCAAGGCCGGCGAGTTCATCGATCGTGGCGACAACACATATGGCGGCAAATTTGTGATCAATCCCAGTGGCGGTCTTATCTCCAAGGGCCATCCGCTAGGCGCCACAGGCTTGGCTCAGTGTGCCGAGCTCTGCTGGCAGCTGCGTGGCCTCGCCGAGAAACGCCAGGTGCCCAATGTCCAGCTGGCCCTGCAGCACAACCTGGGTCTGGGTGGTGCCGTTGTGGTGGCGCTCTATCGCCTGGGTTTTCCAGGTGCCAGCCGCGTCAGGCACAATTTGACTGGCGCCAAGTTGGCGGTTAGTGAGGAGGGCTTCAAAGTGTCGCCGTTGCTGAAGCTGCTCGAGCAGGCCATGCAGGAGGACAAGGACAATCTAATTGAGAAGGTGCGCGCTGTATACGGCTTTAGGGTGAACAATGGACCCCAAGGACAGACGGGCTACTGGGTAATCGATGCCAAGCAGGGCAAGGGCAAGGTCATCTTCAATGGCACACGTAAGTGAGAAACACCTAAGGATATGAGGAATGGTTAACGATTAATGATTCACTTGCATTTGCAGAAAAATGTGATGTTACCTTTATAATCAGCGACGATGATGTCTTTGATCTGCTGACGGGCAAGCTGCCGCCCCAGAAGGCCTTCTTCCAGGGCAAGATCAAGATACAGGGCAACATGGGCTTTGCCATGAAGCTGATGGACTTGCAGCGCTCGGCGCAGGGTCGCATCGAGGAGCTGCGCTCCAAGCTCTAAATATTCCAAGCATACCCTTGGCATTTGCCACAATCCTTGGTTGGGTTTACTTAAACGTAGCTTATATATATATATATATATATATATATTTGATTCTTATGTATTATTTTGTAGCTAATAAATATTTGATTTTTATATTATTTTTTAATTGTCATTACTCTGTGGCAATATGCCACGAAAATCGGCCGTTAAAATAACATTTTTCAAAAACGAAATTTTCATAACTCGATTAAATGAAGTCCGATTTCGGAAAGATATGCCAATTCCAGTCTATTCCATGAATCTAAACTGGAATTTTAGATTCCATTCATGGAATTGATTGAAAGCAACAAATTTCTATTTACAGAAGCTTTAATCTTATTTAAGAATTTGAGTTTTTAAATGCCAATCGAGGGTTGAGTTTTAAAAAATGTAACTTTGTTTACAAGATATTTGAATTTGAAGATATTTTAAAAACCTTTCCGGCTGCAATTTACGGATACAAAAGGTGTACTTTTTTGTTGAATTGGTCAAGTTAAGGCCGATTTTGTTAATTTCGGAAGATATTTATATTATATATATTTATATTTTATTTTATTTTATATTTTATATATTTTTTATTTCTGTTTCATCTTGTTTTGAAATCATTTTATTTATTTATTTTTCTTCTGACCATAAAAGATGCTTTTTCACTTGCATTTTTGTACGATCCGAATCTTTATTGTTTCTTCAACGTGCATTGGCTTTAAGTCTACATTTATATATGTGTGGTATATATATATATATATCATAATTATTGACATATGTGTCTGTGTCTGTGTGTTGTTGTGAGTCTTCCGAAAAGTCGTTAGGAAAAAGTCGCAAAATTAAAAGATTAATAACTGGGCGCATTTTGCACTTTAGTTTGACTTGTAAAAAATACGCGGCCAATGTGCGCGCACATTATGCTAATATACAGATTTATATATAACCATATATATATATATCAAAGTATCTCAAAGTTCTTCTAACAGTTGCCAATGTTGTGTGTGTGTGTGTGTGTGTAACTTAAAGTGCCTGCGGTAATAAATTAAAAAACTACATGTCTAAAAGTAATTTTTAGCATTTTTGAGCTTACATCAACTACAGTTATCAAATATAATATATAAGGGGCGGCACGCCCCGCCCCTTTTGCTATATACAATAAACGATTTTCGGGCCAACCGTGAAAGCGCCCGCTTGCGTTAGACGCCAACAACGTGGCCTCATCACGTGGCCAAATCGAAACAATTTACAAGAAAAAAAAAAAAATAGTAATAATAATAATAATAATAAACAATTTGCAACAATACCTTTTCCATTTTCTTGCCTATATAGCTGCAATTATTGTGGCGATGTGACGGACACCGCCGGGAGAAGCCTCTGGGCTGCTGGCAGCGCACTCTCAGTAGCTGTTGTTGGAGCTGGCGTAGGAGGACAGCGATGGGTTCGCGTTGGTTGCCGTGCTGCTGCTGCTGCTGCTGCTTCCGCCGGCGGCGGGCGCAGTGCTCGCGGCTGAGGCCGCGCTGCCCGAGCTGGAGCTGGAGGAGCTAGTGATACTGGGCTTATTGTCCATGCTGGCCATAATGGAGCCGAGCAGATCGACTGGCGTTACGGCAGTCGCCTTGGCTGCAGCTCTGCTGCCCGTTAAAATGATCTTGTGCGAGGGCAAATTGAACGTTTTGTAGGTGGTGCTGATGGCTGTTGTTGTTGTTGGTGTTGGTGTTGGTTTCTGGCTGTTGTTGTGGCTCTTGGCTGGTGGTGGTGGCGGCGGCGGCGGCGGTGGCAATGGCATGGGCGGCAAGGGCGGCGTCAGCACCACAGCCGAGAGGCGACCCACGAGCGGCGTCAGCGTTGCAGCGGGCAGCACAACTTTAACAACTTGTGATGGTGGTGGGACGGCGGCAGCTGCTGCTGGCAAGGGTGGCTGTGCGAGGCGCACAACTGGCAATGTGGGCGTGGGCGTGGCTGCTGGCAATGGAGCTGGTGCAGGGTCTGGTGGAGGTATGTCCAGTGGTATTATTTCCTCGCACAGCTCTGTCACCTCCTCCTCGTGATCCACCACCAGCTGCGGCGTGCTCTCCACAATTAGCTCGTTGGCCACATCCTCAACGGGATCGGGCGCCGGCGAGACGGGCGCCACGCAGCAGGCGACTTCGGTTTTGCTGGGCTCATCGGATACCATTTTGAGCTGTATTTTGATTTCGGGCTCCTTTTGATTCAGGCTATTTACGTACGCTTCGCGATGGATGAAGGGCTTCTGAGGCACTAGGGGCAGCGGCGGTAGCAAGGCAGGCGGCGGCGGCGGCAGAGGCGTGGCAGCAGCTGGTGGTGCGACAGGCGCAGCACTTGCCACTGCTTCGTTGGCCAGGCGCGGTATTTTTGCTGGCGTTGGCATATCCATTTTATGCTCCGGCTTTTTGCTGCGCTCCTTTTCCTTTTCCTTATCCTTATCCTTATCTTTGTCTTTATCACGATTGGACTTCTCTTTGTCCTTGCTGCATGGCTTGGCATGCTCCGTGGCCGCCGCTTTGGTCAGCTTGTATTTGTGTTCCAGAACCATTTTGCGCATGTCTATCTTGGAGTCATCTTTGCTCGGTTTCTTTTTGGGCGTACCACTGCTGCCGCCACTGCCGCTCCCGCTGCTGTTGGTGTTGTTGGTCTGTTGCGTGGGCGAAGCACTTGCCGAGGAGGCATGATCATCCTGGCTGCTTTCGCTGGAGCGACGCTCCTTGCCATCCAGGTCGATGAGCTTGCGCTTGGCCTTGCCGTCGTGTGCGCGTTTCGAGGGCGTCTTCTTGCCGGAATCATCGTGGCCAATGGGATGGGGCAATATGGTTTGTTTCTCTTTGTAGTGCGGCGTCTCGGCCAGCACCGGATTGTTCTGCTCATTGATTACCTCCTGGCCGGGATAATACTGACGCAAGCGCAGATGCCAAGCTAACAAGAAAACAGAACATTAATTGCGTTCCCAACTAGGCCAAGGATGAGCGCCTTACCTATGCTCGTCACAGCCGTCACGGTGCGGAACTGGTGTATAATGTTGCGCGGCAGAAAGTAGATATCATTGTCGCACAGCTGGATGCGGGCATAGCGGATGCCGTCGCGTCGCAGCTGATTCAATTTGGCATCCTCGATCCACTGCACGCACTGCGAAATGGGCGGCTCGTGCAGATCCAACTGGAGCATCTCGACCAGCGTATTAAAGTCCTGAGCGGCAAAGGCGACCACATCCTTGGTGATGCGATTCTGGTCATATGATTGTCCACAGTGCACCGCCTTGAGTATGCCTGGGAAGATGCGAAGAGTTGACATTAGAAGATGTATAATGAGTAAAAGAAGTAGAGAGATTTGAAGAGGAAGTTAATATGCGCAGCTAAAGGAAGCGGCATAGCGAAAGGCTCACAAACAAGCACAGTTAGAGAAAGGTTGAACGCATTTGGAAATTGAGATGCATTTTCATTTATAGAGCTCACCAACTGCAGCGGTCGTGATGCGTTCGTGTCCATGTCCGACATGATCCGCGTGCGCCTTGGTCCGATCCTCGATCATGGTTTCGCGTGCCTCCGACAAACGCGGCAGATACTGCAAATTGCGCAGCTCATTAATGCGTGTACTGCAAAGCAAAATTGTTGAAATTAATTGACGATAATTAAGAGAAATGCAAAAGAATTAAGATATTAATTTATGGCTTAATTTTGTATTAGTAAGAGCTCATAAACAAATCGAAATGATGTCTTTCTAAGAAGAAATGTAAGTTGTTTATCCTGATTTTATATTAAATATGATATCTACTATTTTTATAAATAAAAGGGCATAAAGGTAGTTCCTAGTTTAAAGCCCAGGCTAAAGTATGGAAGTCGGAAGGCCTAAGCTGAAGGCGAATGTTAAACTGATAAAATTTTGGTTTAAATTAGGGAATAAAAAAATGTTGAACAAATATTTTATAAATTATCTATCCCTACTAGTTGCTAATATAAAATATAAATAACAGAAACAATTTTCTTTAAATAATGTTCTTAAGATAAAACAATATTAAAACAACATATAATTTAAACAAGGTCTAAATATTCTGTGTATCTATATAAGTTATCTATATTAAATATGCATAAAATTAAAATTAATAATTAACAGATTTTATATTTATTACAATTATATTTATTTACAAAATGAATCAAATAGTTACAAGATTTTAAAGCTATTATTTTTCTTTGTATAACAAATAAGAACCAAAAAGGTTTTTAAGCAAGACATAATTTTGAGAGTTTTGTTTAGTAAGTTTCTATAATTATGAATTGGTAAATTTTGAAAAAAAGAGGAACTTACCGCTGTCGCTTGAGGGGCGTCTTGCTGTTCAGCTCGGCGGTGGGCACCAGCTGCTCGCCAGCGCGTATCCACAGGATGGGTCCATCGTTCGATTGACGCGGATCCGTTTGCAGTATGGAATTCACACCCCAGGGCATTGTCTAAAGGTTGTGGATTATTAATTAAATTTAACATGTTTTAAAGTATATGCTGTGTATTTGCCTTGCGCAGAAAGGGATTCTGTTCGATGCGTCCCAGAAGATCCGGAAAAAAGCCGCCCACCTCCTCATGCACTTTGCCCACCAAACTGATCTGATGCAGCGGTCCATAGCGAAAGGTGCCCTGGCAATAATTACGCACCACCTGCAAGCGAGAAAGAGAGAGAAGGATTAGTGTAAAAGCCTATTAATAGATGCAGTGCGTCATTCACCTGTTCGTTGTACTGGGCCATCGTGCACGTCTCGATGTCCGAGTTGCGTCCCAGCACGCCCGCCTTGACCGTCAGCGTCGAATAGTTCTCGGCCATGTGCTCGAGCAGATCTGGTATATAGCGTGCGGCATCGTGCACAATGCCCATCACATGATGTGCGTAGCCCTGCTCATCCTCGGCAAAGCACACGCTAAAGAACTCATCCACCAGCTCCTCCATTTCATGCGGCGGCAGTGTGTCGATTTCATGCTGATAGAGATGCACCACCGAAGCGCCGCCATTGGGATATTGTTCCACTTGAAAGTAATGACCGTATTTGAGATTTTCAAGGCCAGCGGGCGCTTTGCGATTTGCCATGGGCTTGGGCAAAGAGTTGGTCTGCCAGGCACCAGCAGCGGGCGCATGCTGGATGCATTGGACGCCCACGCTGCTGCGGCGAATCTTGGAGCGCTTATAACATTTGGAGCAGTCGCGCGATGAAAAGGATGATGAATGCCGTGACGAGGAGGACGATGACGACGAAGTCGATGAAGTCTTGTGATGGCTGCTCGACGAATTGCTGGAGGAGGAGGACGAGGATTTGCGCACGCTGCAGCTGGAGGAATGATGATTGGCGCTGCTGCTGCTGCTGTTGTTGTTGTTGATTGTTTTTGGCGCCGGCGATGGCATTAAAATGGAAGACGATTGACTGCTGCCATTGCTGCTGCTGCTGCTGCTGTTCTCCTTGGGCTTAGCTGCCTCGGCGCCAAAGCTCAGCTGTCGCGTGACCTCGTCGCGTGTCTTTATCAATGTTTTGAACACATCGCCATTTAGCAATGGCTTCGTTTCCATCGGCTCCTTTTTGATTTCGGTTTCCGTTTTGATGTCTTTGCTGTGGTTAAGTACCGTCAACGCGCCACTTTCCTTCTGTGGCTCCTCCACGATCGACTCTTTCTCCCGATCCCGCTCCCGCTCCTTCTCCTCTTTAATGACCAGCAGCTTGTTGGAGCTGTTGTTGCTGCTGCCGCGACTGCTGTCCGAGCTGCGGCGACGATCCGAGTGCGAATTTGATGAACAGCTCGACGCTGACGATGGTATCTGTTGTTAATTATAATTGTTATTATTATATTCGAACTAAACGCATATTAAAACAGTTGTAGCACATCCAGCTTGACTTTAAAGAACAACTTGAGCGTGTTTTACAATATACAATAATTAATTTAAAGAATCTTATTCATCAGCTAATTAAAATGGTTTGAATATGAGGAGACACGGCTAGCTTTGGATTGCAGAAGTTTGAATACTTTTTTAGATAGATTGGGAGAATTATGCAGCTGGTAAATTGCTTAGTTTCTCGCAGATATCTTGCAATTTTTCAACCGTTTTCTTTTTCTTTCTTTAGAGTAATTTGATACAGCTGCAGCTTTTCGAAGACTGCATTTCTTATAATTGCAGTCAAAAAGCAATTCTATTTTTCTGTCACCCAAAAAATTATCAAGATTTTGCCATTAGCTTTTCAGGTTTAAGCTAAACTCTGCTGACCTAAAGGCTTAAAGTAGCCTTAAATTAAAAGAATAAGTAATAATAAATATACCCCTATATTCCATTTACATAGTTAGCGACTTTTCTAGCTTCAGAGTTGTCAATACAGCTATTTTCTAGCTAACTATGCACATTTGCAGCTGCTTTTAGAGGCACAGTTTAACTGAATTTAGCTTTTTTTTGACAACTCAATGACATACTATTTGCAATATGGCTATTTATAGCGGTTTTTAACATTGGATTCGGCTACTTTTTGTAGCATCAGTTGGCCACACTGTCTAGGACACACTCTCTCTCTCTCTCTCCACATTGTATTTACCTTCTCCCTTTCGCGCTCCCGCTCTCTATCACGATCGCTTCTGTGTTGCTTTTTGTCTTTGCTCCGCGAGGCGCTTGAGGAACTGGAACTCGATTTGTGGTCGCTGCTGTGACGATTTGTTGTATAGGATTTGCTGCCGCTGGAGCTGTTGCTGCTCTTGAGACTGTTGCTGTTGGTTTCGCGATCCTTGGCGCTGCTGCTGCTGCTGCTGTTGCTGCTTGTGTGGCGCTTATCATCATCGCGTTCGCGTTCCTTATCTTTTTTCTTCTTCTTGTGATTGCGCTCTGCTAAGGGCACAGAAAATTGCATCAAAACAAAAATAAGAGAGGTGTGCGGGGGGGGAAAAAGCTCTTGGCAGCTCTGCTCACCCGTTTTGCTGCTGTCCGATTCGGCGGCTGTCGCTGCCGGCGCCGCTGCCGCCGTCACTTTGACACAATTCGTTGTTGTTCTTGCTGTTGCTGTTGTTGTTTTTGTTGTGGTATTTGCATTGCCATCGCCTGACAGCTGCTCTTTTTGTTGTTGTTTAGTTTTAGCACTGCTCTCGTTGTTGTTATTGTTGTTGTTGTTGTTGTGCATGTGCTGGTGCTCTGTGCCCAACACTGTGGCCCCTTCTTCGCTCTCCAATTGCGCTGCTGCGTCGCTGCTTATCATAGTCTGTGTCTGCATGTGTATGTGTGTGTGTGTGTATATGTGTTCGTGCATATGTGGAATGGATAATAAGTAAAGTATTAGGCGCAAAATTTCGTGCGGCAATTTATGACGTCGCCGTTCTCAACGACGTCAACTTACCGCTGTCTGGGGCACTACTGCGGCATCGTTTGGGCTTCGGGCGGTGTCCTGGCACATGGCTGGCAGCGGCAAAATGTTATTTTCGCCATCAGCGCCGCCGCCTTCTACTGTGGTTTCCATACTGTTTGTACTGGTGGGTGTTCGTTTTGATGTGTGTGTGTGTGTGTGTGCGCGTGTGTATGTGAGTGAGTGTGAATATCGATTTGCAAGTCGCTTGCCGTCTACGTGACGCTACTCAGGAAACTATCTAAAACTCACGCGCAATTTGTTGTTGTTGCTTGCCGTTCACTGGCACTTGCATTAGTATTAGTGACCGGGCACTTGCGCGTAATTCTACGCTTGCTCAGTTTTTAATAACAATTTCGCGTTTTCGTTCTAGAACGAGCCGTCGTCGTACATCGTGCATTCATTGTTTGCCTTGCCGATAATTTAGGGTTGTCGCATCTTCTCTTCGCCTGGCTATGCATCGATGGGCCCGTCGCGTGCAATATTGCGATGATATACGATGTATCGATACTCTTTTATTCGAAATGGCAAACTTGTGCAAATTAATTTTTAAAAATATCGTTGCACTTTAATTTGCGCATTAGGGTTTTATATGATTGATACACTTCTTGAAAAATAAGAAATTGCCTAGTAAATTTTATTTTTGTTTTTAATTCTTTTAAAAATGAAAAAGTATACTAAAATGTTTGCATAAATATTGTAGCTAACGTATATGCGTAAGAGCATGATCTAAATTCAACAAGTAGTTACTCCCAATTGTTATAAAAATTAACACTTAGTTTTGTATCCATTTAAAAACTTGAAGTATTCTATACAAATTGTACTTTTTAAGGCGGGAGCAATATACAGAAATAAATTACACTATTTAACAAAATTTACTTACAATAATATTCCGGTACAACCTGATTATATCGATTATTTTTATCGATAGTTTGTCGTTAAGTTGCGAAGGCCAAGTTTGTTTCGAAAAGCGCAAATAAATGAAGATGTTAATATGTTGAGTAGAAAATATATTAACCAGAAATGTTTTAACTTAAATTTTGCAGGAAATTCAACGTGAATTAAAAAGAAGACTGGAGTTATTTTTGTTAATGTTCTTATGTTGCACCCACACGAAACAACAAACAGAAAATAACTTTGGTTTCGCTTAATCGCTCATTCAATTTAGTCAGTCTTTCGATTTACTTTTTTTTTTTTTAATGAATATTGGTCGGTTCTGGACTTCTTGATTTGTAGCCCATGGCAGCTTGCATTGCTGCATCACTGCTCTCAGCGGCTTTAATAAGCGGTAAATTTGTTGGATTATCCAGAATTTCTTCCTTTTTCACATGCAGCATGTCTATCTCGGTAAGGGCAACATTTGGTTCCTTTAAAAATAAAAAAAAAAAAAATAGAAAAGTTGGACGAGCAGCTGATTCGGAGTTTTATATTAGATTAAATCATTTGCACCGATTCAAGCTCTTAATCAAACCGGAAGATATTCAAACTAACCTGGTTTGATCTACTCTACGCTAGCAACATGTTCGAGCTCGAACAAAGACAAGTTCGAAGGGAGCTCGAACCTGTTTTATCGCTCAAACTAACCAGTTTTGATCTACTCTACGCTAGCAACATGTTCGAGCTCGAACAAAGACAAGTTCGAAGGGAGCTCGAACCTGTTTTATCGCTCTGCTTGAACGAGTATCTGAAATGCGTTTGAATTCAATGAAGGGGGTCTTTTTAATAATATTTACCTTTTCCATGGCTGCTTCGGAGACCTGCAAATGATATTTATCCTTGCAGAAGCGCGTCAATAATGCAATGCCCTGCTCACGATTCTTGGCGTACTTGGTCTCCCAAGCATCCAGCAGGCGGTTATAGTAGCGCGCATTCTCAAAGTAAGGCAGAAATACATGTGTGCCCTGTGTGGGAAAGACGCGCTCCAGCGGCTTACAGCGTGCCAGCTCGTCCTCGGCAACGATCAGGCAACGGACATCGTCTGGCAACAGATTGTCCAGTATGGTGTCCACATACTCCTCCCGAAACTCAATGGCACGACTGGTGAAATGATTGTGCTTGCGCACCTCTTCGGCTGTTAGGCAGGTGGTAAAGATGCGTTTGTCGTGGACAAGCGGTCCCTGCATCTGCAGCTCATCAAGTATCTCCTGCTGTTGCCGGTCATTCAACTTGGGCGGCACCTGATACAGCGCCGTATTGAGCACGGCCTGTATCAGTGGACCCTTCACATGCAAATCGAGCGGCAGTTCCGAGTGCAGCGACGGTGATATATTTATCTCGAGCAGCCAGGGCACCAGATTCTCATCGAGCAGCACATCGAAACCGAATAGCTCATAACAATTGTAGCGGAAATTCACATTTTGCCGATACATACGATTCAGGCCAGATTCGCCCGAGACAATGCCCCGGATGACCAGATTCCGTAACGTTGCCCACAGGCGTTTCGTGTTAACGCCCCGATTCTCCAGGCAGGACCATAACGATTGCAGTGTCCACTTGTGTCCCTGACACGCATTGAAATCCTCGTTTTTCGTATAATTTTGCGAAAACTTATTTATGCTATAGTTGGTCAGATGCATGCAACGCTCATCCAGATTCCCCAGCTCCGAACTGTACTTGACCGAAGCGAAACGCGCCAGCCCATCCTTAAACATATAGATGCGCAGCGGATTTATGGAGGTCAGCACCACATACAGACGCATATCGAATTTGTTGTCATTGATCAGCAGCGGACGTTCGATATACTTTTGGACCACCAACGGGCGATCCTTGGGAAATTGACTCCACTTGTTCACAATACGTATCCCGGTGCCCCGTGCACTGGCCGGCGGCTTAACAATCCATTTGGTCAGCTTCGATGCGTTCTTGGGCCACACCTGACGCAAATTCTCCAGATCATCAGGCATTATGTACGATCTGCGCAGAGTTCAGTATGTAAGACGTATTCAGTTTAATTAAATTTCTTTTAGCTTGACTCACTTTTGCATAATTCCAAATTCCTTTTTGCCAAACTTCTTCATATTGTTGGCAATGCTGCGCCACATTGTGTCCTTGCGTCCAATGCGAAACGAGCCGGGCATATGGTTATATTTCTGATGCGAGCGTATCGTACGAAAGCCTGGACTCTTCATGTGCTTCTCCCACACAGCCATCCAGTCGGTGGTGTCTGGTTAAAACGAATGTTAATTATTATATGAGAGAGTATATGACACGGTTGTGCCAGGGCTAAGTAATTTTTTTTATATTAAGGATAGTTTTCCACCCGTTTTGTAAATGGGTGAAACGTGTATTTGAAATCGATCAGACGGAATTTTAAACGTTGCCCAATTTTGCTGGTAAATTTAAAACGCCAATCAGAAATCTTTAAAAGTGATTTAGAAACCAATCGGAAAACAAAAAGATTACAGACAACTGTGCTCCGCGTATTTTCCACACTTTTGGGTGGAATTTAACAAAATCCCGTGCTCTTACGCAATTTAATAAAAGCTACTGCTGAATAAAATCTTTAAGCTTTCAACATATCCACAATCTGTCCAAAAGTCCGTCAGCATTGTATATTTTGTAAGCGGGATAAAATATTTTGAACCATTTTTCCGGGCATGGAATGCTATGCTTACTTTTGATAATGCGAAAGCCTGAATTGAGCACAACGCGTTTTACAATCTTTGGCATAACCGGGCTGAGCTTCCATTTGAGCACACGATGCAGTGTAGCCGGCATCGGCGGCCCCTTGTCAGCATGCGATGTGAAATTCAAATAGGGCGGCACATTCGGGAACAAGCTGGGTGACAATATCGACTCTGGCTTAAAGTATACAGATGCTTCAGAGTCTGTTGTATTTGTGGTTGCCACCGAAGCCTTGGACGGTACTTTATCCAGTTTAAGGCGAATATGACGACTTTGGCTCGTCTCATCATTGTCGTCCTCCAGATAGAACGGTGTGCCCACATAGTCCTCATCCGAATCCGAGTCGTCGTAGCTGGTAATTTCATCAATGGCTGCACGAGAGATGTATGCAAAATATTAGTTTAAATACGGCTTTGCATATATATTATATATTAATCCATTTGCAGTTCGAAGTACAATTAAAATTTACACACAAAGTGCAAGCATAATTTCCACGGATTTTCCGCAAAACGGAATTAGTTCGAAACGAATTGGAAGTCCAAAAAAGAATTGTGATTTGGATGTTCAAAGTCGTATTAACTTAAGTAGAGCTATAAAAATAAGTTGAGAACCGATCGGACGAAATTTCGCCTAGAAGTCCGCTTAATCCCCTTTTTTTCCACGAGCTGTAGTGGATTTCAGAAAAGGTGTGACACAATAAATTTGCTGTTATTTTTCACACTTTTGAAGAAGAATTCAAATTGATTTTTGCCTTTTCTCTATTATTTGAAGCCCAAGTTTCACGCTAAGTGGATTTTCCGGAAACTATGAAAATTCGTTTGAAGCGAATTGCAGGAAGGATAAAAGAAAGTTTCAATGCAATTGCCTAATTGTGGTGTGTGGATATTTAAAATCGTTTTATTAACTTTTTAAGTTCAGCTATAAAAAAATTAATTTAAAGTCGATCGGACGAAATTTCGCCTAGAAAACTTTTTCCACGAGCAGCAGTGGATTTTTAGAAAAAGTGCGAAAGTGCGTATCAAATAAATTTGCTCTAATTTTTGGAAAATTTGCCAAAGCCGCGAATCACTGTTTCAGCAATCGGTCAATCCGTCAGTCGGCACATAAATATAGTTTTATATAGATGAAAATAGAAATTACCAGCGCAGGGATCATCATCGTTCTGGCGTCCTTCATGATTGATGCTCACACATTTGTTCAAGGAGACGCCCATATAATTGCTTGAATGCTCACCGGAGGCGATACGCGAATTGATGCACTGGAATGGCAACTGCGATGGCTGCGCATAGAGCGAGGCATAGAGCGATGTCTCCAGGGCCGAGGCAGCTGATTTGGTTAGACCATTCTGTGTTAGTATCTTGCTCTTCTCGTCGTGCTGCTGTCCATTTAGCATGCTGCTGCCATGGAACGTATTGACAACAATCTTGCTGGCGGCCTTTATCGTTGTCGCACTGGAGCTGCGGGCCAATCCACTTCTGGGCGGACTTGGGCAGGCCGAGCCGATGTTACTGGGACGCTTACAGCTGCTGCTGTTGCCGCTGCTATTCGTTGCATTTTTGGCAAGAGCATCCTCACGTGCACGCTTTAAAAGCATCTGTGTGTTAGCATTGCAGCCAAAAGCGGGACGACAGATGACAGGCAGCAGCCAGAACAAACGGGCAACAGGCAACAGGCAGCGGTAGCACATGCAACAAAGTGGAAACATCAAACATTTAACATTGAAAAGCATATACGGCAAGCCGTACATTTATTAAGCGTGCAGAAGTAAACGTGAACTTTTATCGTAACAGACTCTACGAAGAATTAAGAAAAAAGAATAGAAATGGAAATGGCCAAAGATTTAATACTCTTGCAGAGATTTATATATCAGATATGTTAGTTCAGTTAGTTCAAAGCAATAATACTCGAAAGACCTAGACCCAAAGTAAGCTTTTGCCTGAATGCAGTTTTTGTTTACTTGCTTTTGACATTTGTAATTCCCAAACAGTTAAAGCCTCGAAAGAGACAAGAGGCTGCTTGTTAGCCTGAAGATAATTGTTGAAGGTTTGCTGATAAAAGCACTGAGAGGTTTTTGAAGTAAAGAAATATGCAGACAAACTATATATGAATCAAAAACTATATATGAATATACGATATGGAAAGACAACAGTTTCTATGCAGAGGGATAAACATTTAAGAACTAAGAAGGAGCATGCTTCAGGCTTGATTATGAACAGAGTGTTAACTAATACAAATGTAGCTGAGTTTCTAGTTAGATCAAGATCTAAGAAGGATCATGCTTCGTTTATAAATACAACATTAACTAATACAAATGATCCCTAAATTAGTCAGCCATAGAGCTTAGTATAAACGCAACGCAAACTAAAGCAAATGAAGCTGAGTTTCTCTTAAGATCTTTGGATAAGATCTAAGCAGGAACATGCTTAAGGCTTGATTATGATGGGTTTCTTTTGAGATGCATTGATAACAGCTTTGTATAAGGAGGCTAGTATAAACACAACATAAACGAAAGCAAATGTAGCTGAATCTCTTATAGAATCTTTAGAGGACAGTTTATATATAGAGAGCTCTGTTTGGCTACGCACCTGAACTTTCTTGTACGGCTCAGATTGGAGCACGCCTACAACTGGCGCTGGCACAGAGTTCAACTTGGGTGTGATACGCGACTGTGGCGGCGACTTAACGGGCGCTGCAGTGGCAACGGCAGCAGTTGAAGCCTCCGACGTCTTTGAACGCCTATTTGCCGCTGATGATTGGATTGTGGATTTCTGCAGTTGGCCCCTGGCCGATTTGGATGCAGTTGTTATTGTTGCTGTGGCAGCAGCTGTGGCTGCCGCCGCCGCTGCTGAGATGCCTGAGCTAGCTGCTGTTGCCACCGAGGAGTGGCCGGCAGAGCTGCGCATATGATTGGACAGACGCTGCGTTCCATGGGAATTATAATTATGTGATTGATGCGACGATTGGTGTGCGGATTGATGATTATGATGTGCCAGCTGCTTGCACATGACCAGCTTGTCTTTATAGAGTTCGACCTCTTCTAACCAGGACTCGTGAAAATCTAAGATCTCGATGCCCTTGCCACGCGACTGTGTCGCATGATGTCGCGATGCCGTATTCTCCTTTGTGGCCGAGGACGCGGCAGCGGCAACATTGGCTCCTGTCGTATGTGGACGCATCGTTGGCGTTGTCCTTTTCTCAGTTGTGATCTGTGCCATAGGTTTTCCACAGAAAATTTTGGATAACTGCAAAAGAAGAAACCAAATTCATGAAAATTGCCTAAGAAAATGCCAATTTCACGATTTGTTTGGATTATGTGATGCGCGCCAATTACTTCAGCCAGCTACTTTGGTGGATCTCTGGCTGTTGCCGCTGCCGCTGCCGCTGCACGTTGTCAATGAAGCTATTTTCGATATGGCACAGCACCAAGATCAACGCCGCACGCCCCGACGCCGCCGCCGCTGCCCTCTGCATGGCACTTCTCCTCGGATCGCTGATCTCGTTAAAAGACAATTGAAATGTGCAGCGTATCAATGGAATCAAGATCGCTGGGCGTTGGCCAAATTATAAAAGGCAACAAAACAAAAAAACAGATAGCGTTTCTCTGCGCGCCTTTTCAAAATCCAAAAGCGAAGCGCGCGCAAAATTTCCGCTGCCGCCGCTGTTGTTGTTGTTGTTGCCGCTGCGCAGCCGGCGTGGCGCTGTATTTGTTGTTGTTGTTGCTGTTGTTGTTGTTGTTGTGTGGAGCCTGCACGCACTCACCTTTTACATTTACACGCGCACACGTAATTTTGTAAGTGTAGCAAAGCAAGCAAACCGAAAATATGTCGGCGTTTTGTTAATTAGAGTACTAGATCGACAAAAAAAATAAACAAAAAATTTTCTTTTTTTTTATATTTAATTTCAAACAAAAAGCCGGACAGACTACAGACAACAACAAACTTTATAAATGTGACCGGGCTTGGCAAAATACTGAAATGACAAATCGTTTTGTGAACGTGAAAAAATACTGGAAAAAAATGCGACAGGCAGTGCGGCCCAACAAAAAGTGTGGCCAAGCGAACAGTGCTGCCCAGCCACACGGCGAGTGTTTAAGCGCGCATTTAAATACAAATTCGGGTGCAGTAGTCGAAAAATGTTCATTAAAACTCGATATATATCAACTAAATTAAAACAAACATCAAATGATACGTCAATTAAATGCAATTATGTTGCGTATATGTCAATTTGATGAGCCATAAATCGTTTTTAGTGCCCGGCACATAAATCAAGCCAAGCGCCTTACCTGCGAACACACACCGCGCACACCCGTAGCCGCTGCCGACCTACATGAGTGTAACGAATGCTCAGATCAAACGCCGCTCATGATGAAGACATCAACGTTTCAATTTGAGCACCTTTCGCTGCTTGTTTGTTCTTCTGATACCCTGTAAGCATAGAGAAAGGGTGTGTAACTGGCGGGTGTCGACATCTTTGGGGCTATAAATTATATATATTCGCGATCAGAATCAAGAGTCGAATCGCGCTAGTTATGTCCGTCAGTCAGAGAGAACAACCTTGTTTTGTGAGAATATTTATATTGAATTTCTCCCTCTCTACACTCTCGATTCCAGGTATATATACACACTAGAAGAATTTATAGAAAAGAACTAGAAGAAAATATAGAATAAGAATTTATATAACATGCTGCGAGGCAATAAAAAAGTAATAGTTTTTTATAGCAGCTCAGCTGGTTGGCTACAGGGTAGCTGCTAGTCAGGCATGCTTGAGCATGCACTTGTTTGTTTTTTTTTTCTTGGTTTTTTTTATTGATTCTGATGTACAAAGTGATTTATCGCAGATCCTGCGGCAAAACTCTCTAAACTCAAAAGCACTGCAGCTCGGACCATCAGAAACTGACGGAGGCAGAGGCAGGGGCAGGGGCAGGGGCAGGGGCAGAGGCTGGTCGTCGATATGAATCTGTCGATAGGTTGCGGCGGGCATTATGAGCGTTTAAACGGCACTCGAGGCACCGCCTACAAAACGCGTCAACACCCGAGACGAGAGACGAGACGAGACCAAAGGCCCGTCCAACTGGCCCGTCCAGCCCCGGCTGCTGATGAACTTATCTTCATCTTTCAAATTGTTTAACGTGTTCCCGTCTCTGTGTGTGTGTTAGAGTGTGTGTGTGTGTGTGTGCGGCATGGCAGATGTAGATACGGACATGTGCCTGAGCCAGAAGCTGCCGCAGCTCCTGTTTGTGTGTGGCCCATTCCCAACCTCATCCTCAACCTCCATCTCAACCTCCATCCCATCCTCCATCTCAGCCTCAATCTCAGCCTCATTCTCTTAGCTTAACGCTTGCACTTTCAGTTTTTGCGTGATAATCGCGCCGCTTGTTTGTTAAATATTATTAATTAACACAATAATTGTTATTATTATCGATTGTAATCGAACTGCGAATTAAACAAACTGTGGGAAAATGACAAACTAAAATCTAAAATCTAGAATCTATAAGGCGTCTTGATTGGAAAGTTATTCAAGAAATGAAATGCTTTAATGCGAAATGAATTAAATTAATAATTAAATAATTGTAAATTTTGTCAAATAATATTCCACATTAATATGAGCTCGACTGATTTTGTAGACACTTTAAACAAACCTAACCTTACTTAACCTAACCTAACCTAACTTATCTTTGACCTAGTCTAACCTCTAAGATTACTTTTAGGTTAGGTAAGGTTAAGTTAGGTTAGGTTATGTTATTCACCTGCACTATCATAACCTAACTTAGCATTACCTAACCTAACCTAACCTAGCTTAACCTAACCTAACTTAAGATAACCTAGCTAACCTAATCTAACCTAACCTAACTTAACCCAAGCTAACCTAACTTATCATTGACTAAATCTAACCTCTAAGATTATTTTTAGGTTAGGTTAAGTTAGGTTAGGATATGTTATTCACCTGACCTAACCTAACATAACCCAACTTTTTCGTAACCTAACCTTACCTAATCTAACGTAACATAACCTAACTTCTTGCTCTAGCCTCAAGCACTCGAGAGCTCTGTTCCCGAGCTCTGCCAAGTGCTGTGCTCGACCCTGGCATCTGTCTGTTTTCTTTGTGTATTGGATTAGGTAAAAGATACACCCAACTTAACACCTTTTGCGAGTGGACATTGTTTTCCAGACTTAACCAGCTGACGTGCTGATCACGTGAATAGCCTGGATATGATCGCATGCGATTAGATCGCAAAACCATATGTGAATGTGTGGGGCATATATCTTTATATATATAAGTACAATAATCTGTGCAGATCTGTGCGGGCCAAAGGGGGGAAAAGTCTTTGTAATTGAATAATGGCAAAGCGAGGCAGCTCAGTTTCGTCTTATGCACACCTTGAGCCGTGTAAATTGAGCTCTAATCAATGGGCGGGCATCTTCGAATCTTCGAATCCTTTTTTGTGGCAGCTCAGGTTTATCAAAAAGGTGCCGAAAATAGGCAAAAAAAAAAGGCTTAGGGGCCAACAAAGGGAGAGCCGGAGCCAAAGCACACACATGCCTCAGCTGGCATTGAATAGATCCAAATTAGTCGGATATATGCTAACAGAGTGCATTGTGCCAAATAAATTGCATTTCATGTGATCGAAATTTGATATTATTCACAAATGCCGCCCACACAATGCAACATGAAATTCAAGACTTGACAGAGCACCTCCAGAACGCCCTGTTGATATCCTATTAATTAAGTGCATAAAGAAAATCAAATTCCTTCATTTTATCCCATTTAGAAAACTTATAGATGCATTAGATCTAGGAAAGATTGGATTGGATCTGGGAAAGAACTCAATTTAGAGACTTGATATTTAAGATAGAAGAAAGAGCTTGTTTTTCGTATTATTTCTTTGTTCCTTGTCATTTATTCTTTAATTTGAATTAAAAACGATAAATATCGATTTTGAGACTTCTTTCTTCTCAATGCTTTGTAAAGTAAACTTGGCAGCCAGGTTTATGTTTTGGGCTAAGTCCCATTATTAATCACAGAATTGTAAAATATTCATTTTTGAAAGTGGAGCCTTGAACTTTGGTATTTACACACCTTTTTCTTGCATATTTAAGCTCTGAAAATTTCAGAAGAATAGAACTATAAACAACTGAGTTAATCAAGAATAGATTTGATTTTTGACTGGGTTCAAGGGAAGAAAAGGTTAAAGATCAACAATTGTGGGCTTTATATTCTAGGAAAATCGAAGGTTATCGAGATGCAAAACAAGTTAAAATATATATAAGCATTATTTCTTATGATCCTCTTCCAACATATCTCAAACTCTGAAGCCCGAACCCAACTAAGTATTTCCATTAACTTGCTTCACTAAAACAGCTCAACTACCAAAAATAGTCTTAAATAATTAGTTGGTTTTCGATAATGTTAAACGAATCGTGACAAATTTGTCGAGATTTCCAAATTCAATACATTCTACTTAAGAGCCGACCTTATAGGGAGACTCTGTCGCATCGCAGAGGCCCATCAAAATGCATGCTTAGAAAACACAGCACAAAATGGATGCTATCTACAATGGACGCATAAACTTAATCGGCAGCTAAGTCGACGATTAATTTTATTGCTTATTTTCGTTTCACGATGTCTCAAATACAACAAAAAAAGAGAGATACAAAAACAAATGTTCATAAGCTTTACCCACTTTGGTATTTCGTTTTGACGGCGGCTAAAATAAAATTGGAAATTTATAGTCGTTATGGGCCTGGCTCGCTCTCTCTTTCTCTCTCTCTCTATCTCTTTCTCTCTCTCTCTCTCGCTTGAATTGGGTTCTGGTTCGAAAGGGGCTGTCAGCTCTGACTACCTTTAGCTTCTGCGAAATTTTAAACGCTCCGCGTTTGACGATGACAACAAAAACATTGCGAGAATTCTGCTTCATTTTTTTTATATATACTCTAGCATTGGGTATTATGCTTTTTGGTATTGAAAGGAGACATCATCCATTAAAGTGGTTATGCATCTGTCTTTCCATTTCTTTGCACACCATTTTCCCGAACAGCATTATCTTACAGCTCTTATAGGAAAGATCTGTCTAAATTGCAGCTAAAGCTTAAAAAGCCGCTTTTCAAGATATTCAAACTGGACTTCCAACACATGAGCAAATTCTTATTAATATAGACTCCATGTAATATAACTGTCTGAGGAACTATTTTTCGACGATTTCTTTCAGATATCGCAAAGAAACTTATCTATCATGATTATCAAATGGAGCTGAGTCTCTTGTACCTCCTAATGGAAGACGATCTATAAAGTTCTTGGCCTAATCGTATCTCATACAAGAAGAACCCCTAGTTAACCCCTATTAATAGATATTATTATTATTTGTTGAGTCTCTTGTGTCTTTCACCGAAAGCTGATCTATATAGTTCTTGCTCTCGTAGCGCTCACTACAAGATGAACTACAAAGTTCTTAATCGGACAAATCGGAGGAAATGATTTGTCTTGGCATTTAAGTTTGTACTACAAGATTCTAACATTGCTTGGATGAACTCTAATGACAAAACATAAAGGTAAAAAAATGCTGCTGGATTTGAGCCGGTGACTTCGCGCTTGCTAGTTCGACGCTCAGAAACAGAACGTTAATATATGGATTGTTATTGATGGAGCTCACATTCTCTTTCTCTCTTCTCTCTCTCTTCCTCTCTCTCTCTGTTTCTCTCTCTTTCTCTCTCTCTCTCTCTCTCTGTTCTCTCTCTCTCTCTCTCCCTCTCTCCCCCCCCTCTCTCTC